TTTGTAACCATTTGCAATGATTTAAGAAGTAGTGTTACAAGTTCTGTTTAGACTGACTTCAATCATTTTTTAAAAACATTTAATATGAATTCTAACATATTTCTGCCAATTTCTGTTACCATGGCAACAAATGAATGGACTTGTAACATCTTGTAACCATTTGAAGTAATTTAAGAAGTAATATTCACATGGACTTGGAATTTTTATTGTTAACACATATAGACATGCTACCACTTTTAACATATTTTCGCAGTTTCAGTTACCATGACAATGAATATATGTTACCATGGAAACATATTAGTCTTTGAAATGACTCCTCACATTTCTTAGAAACTGTAATTTAAAAATGCATGACCTGAAATATTACCATGGCAACAAATAAGTAGATTGACATCTTCTTTTGAGTAGCATTCCCCAGCATTTGTTTGCATCATTCTGTAACTTTGTAACACGTTTATTATCATCAGCAATGTGGGTTGGTGCCAATTAATTGAACTGGTTTATATCATTAAAAACACATGAAATTAACATCTAAATTCATGAAATTTATTTACAAACAAGTGTTACAACAGTGTTTTAAAGTTTGTATAAGATTTTTATTTTTATATTGATTCTAACTTTTTTCTGTTTTTGGATAACCTACTGATCAGAATTGTAAAACATGATTTTTACTAGGCCAAAGGACCTTTAAAATAGTTTGCTCATTTAAAACTATCCTTTTTAAAATATTGGAAGAGCCTGACAACAGTAATGTCAGATAGCGTTGTCACAAATGGCAGACATAACTGTCGTTTCAATTCGATTTTCATGAACTGGTTGTTTAAAAGAGCAACTAGACTAAATTCCTTTGGAACAATAATCAATCAAAGTGTCTTTATACTCATTGTACAGTTAATAATGTTCTACCATCGAAAGATAGTCTAATTTTACCGATCAAAATGAGATTCGGACAGTGGACACTGTATTACCATATGCCGTTGTCTTTGTAAATTATTTCAAATTCAGATTCCGTTGTCATATTGCCGATATTAAAGACACTATATTGTGGCGATTCACGACCCACTTTGATCGAAATTAGGATTTCATATGATACATCATCATAAGAGCTTAATACATGCACAGTATTAGCGACGATAAAGTCCCATGAAATGATAACCAAGTGATTGAAGAGTTGAAGCGACGATGATATCCGCCATTTGTGACAACGTTTTCAGGTTATTCCGGTGTGTTTATAAAACTCTAGGAAGAATTAGAGTCCAATGTTACATTTCATAAATCTGTTTATAATTCATAATTATTGTCTCAATAATTTTAGTAAATCTTATGTTAGGTCAACTTGATATTATATGAAAGTCAAGACAAACCTCCCCTCATACAATACATTATAATGAATGTAAGTAATAAACATGTCTGCATTGTCCTTTACAGTTTACAGAGCTTGTGATTGGTATAAATATATGTACAAAAGTTTCATATTTAAAGCAAGAAAAACAATCCAAATGATTAAAATCTAAAAAAACACTTTACCAGCCAGTTTTATATTTTAAAGATAACAGAACATTTTTAAGTACAACATTTCCTAAATCCAGTATCATCAATGAGGTCATGACAATAATTATGATTATAATTACTGACAATTAATAATGACATGGTGACATATTACACATTTATGGATGATTATGATTACCAATAATTAATGACATGGTGACATATTACACATTGGTAAAATGCATATATTTAGGTAGTTTAGAGAATACAACACCAAGAAAATGCATGCTGGTGGCTCCCAGAGGGTATACACATTTTCACCAAGTGCTTTTTTCATCTCCAATCAAATTGCAGGATTCGATCACGTGAACAATCATGGGCACATGCTCTCTCAGTGCTGCCCATGCGCAGAGTTAAATTTGAAATCGTGGGAATGGCGTTTACATCAGTTCAACATCGTCATTTCAAACCTACGGTAATACTATTGGATATTTTAACACAGAAACGAATGGATCAGCCAATAGCGTGAGTTTCAGCAAACCATACACCCATATCTATATGCTTTTCAAGAGAAGAAAATGGGGATCTCGCAAAATGTATGTCCAAACTGATTCAGTCAATTAAATGGTCACTGTGTGTGTGTTCATTTTGTTTTTCTGCCTAGATTTGAATATATTACCATTAAATGATATATACACTGAACCTCTAGAACCTGCTAAGTGAAACACCTCTTGAAGCGTAACACCTTACAAGTGGAACCGTTTTTTAAGTTCCATTTTAGTCCATTTATTTTACGCCTCTGATCCCAAGGTATGAGAACTATACACCTTGGCATCCAAGATGATTGTCGAATTGTAATGTAATTGTAATTGTAATAAAATATAAAATCTGAATTATACATTATCTATTTCATTGGGGAGTTAAATCATTCTTTTGCAGCAAGGTATCAATAAGTAATGTAATGACGTAATAACCTTCAGTAGATGCCAGTAGTTAGTTCCCAGTTTCACCACGAGGTGGCTAACTTGGGTCATATATAAATGACAGGTATAAGGGAAGACTCCTCTAAGGTTCAATATTCAGTAGATTTATTGATCAATTTTCAACTAAGGTCTATAAGTGATTAGCTTGAGAATTTTAGAGTTGTATGTAATCGAATGCAAAATAAACGACCAGTGAGCGTTTTTAGAGAAACTCTACAAAATTTGAAATAAATACCATGCTATTATCTCTAATGACAGAGTTATGTGGATCGATGGGACCGAGTAAAAGTTCCAGTTTAGGCTTTGCTCAGAGGGGTATCATCTCAGATTAACTGGTGGACACTATTGGAGAATGAGAGTCTACTGTAATTTCAGAATCATTTATTGTCATTTCATTACTAATTGATATTCTCGTTCTACATGTTCTATTGCAATTTCATTGGTAATTTTATTTGATTTTGTAGCAGTTGTTGAATCAGAGATTCTGGATGATTTCATTCGATTATTGTCAATCACTGAAATTGTCATGAATTCATCACTTTCTACAAGTATGTGTTTATTTATTGATTTCACTTCATTTGGTATTATTCCAGAGAAATTTCTTGTTATCATTCTAGATTTGCCTCTATTTTCAGTAATCTTTCTCATCTTCATCTCTTCTTCTTCATGATGTTCTACAAGGTGGTTTATAATGATTTGAAATTTAGGAGTTCGTAATGAAGGACAGTAAAATCATGTAAACCCAACCACTCTGAAATGCAAAGAACATATCATTAGAATCCACATGGTAAAATCACCCACTTGGCTGATCATAAATTGTTTTCATAACATCCTTCTTACTCGATACTGAAGGGGAGTTGGAACGTCTGATATGCATGTAATGTTAAGTATTATGTAAATTAACCATAAGCATGTTGGTTTTGTGGTTTTGGTAATCTAAAAACAGAAAATTTGGTGAAATATACATTTTCATTCGGCGGTTTTTTTTATTTTGCTTCATTTATTAACTCAGTTCAGGTATTTCGGTTGAACCAATCACCGAATCCTGTTACCAAATGAATCTTGAGTCTCTTATACAGCATATGGAATACCATCTGTAGGTAAAATGTCATTAAGGTGGTAAAGAAAAGAGAAACAAACATACCTTTCCTCCGACATTTCGAATTTTCCGCATCTTGTCGAGTCTTTGATCACGCACTTTTAATAGTAGGCGATCACTGTACATACAGTGAGGTGACACACTGTTATGGGAACTGGTCATATCAGATGTTCCCACGCTTTTCGTCCAGAAGAGGTCATTTCCCAGGATTATAGATGAACCCTTGGCCAATCAATGATATAGTTCACATAAGAGAAGTATGACTGTATGAATTCTGGGATATTCCTGTTTTGTTGAGACAGGTGAGAATAAAATTAACCCTTTGCAAATTTGATCAATACTGCCTCCAATCATCCAATACTTGGCTCAGTTAAAATAGTTGATTTATATTTGAATTCGATAATAACATTTAAAAATTAAATGTGTAGTAGTAATACTTTAGTACCTCTTATTAATTAATGTATATTACAACATACATAATGATGTAGGCAATTTGTTTCATAAAAATCTAAAAGTAAAATTCATAATTTAAATTTACCCTCTGGGAGCCCCAAAATTTTAGAAAATGCATTTTCTTGGTGATGTATTTTCTAAACTACCATATATTTAAAATATTCTGATCAAAAAAAATTGTGAAAATGTGAAGCTACCAATTTAAAGTCATTAGATTCAACCAGCTCTGTCTATCTTATGTGAATAAGCGGACATAGATGTTACTACGAGAGTCTGCAACTCCAGACAGTTTAGTGGTTCGGCTATTGGTTCCACATGGATCATGTCACAGTGTCAGAAAATTGCTTGTTGTAGATGTGTCAAAGTAGTAACACATACACTATTAGCCTTAAGGCTTGGCCTATACCCCAGGATTGGCAGTCTCGTTAGAATGGCACTTGTTGTACAAATTGGTTTTACAATGTCCTTTACTAGCCTGCAGTTTATAGATCCCGTTTGCCAATCTACGAAACTCCCCATTTGGGATACAAGCAATAATGTTGTGGAAACAGAGGAACATCTGAACCTTTAAAGTTCATTATATTCCAGTTTGGACGAGGCGTAACAGCATTTAATTGTGTAAACTGAGTGTAGTTTGTGAGCGTTTAAGTCCACACTAATGTCCAGCCACCTCTAATACCATAAAAAGTTCCAAAAGCAAGCCCAACATCCTGTTTAAGAACCCCTATTCTTACTTTTGAAAAGTTCTAGAAATACTATCCAACATGAATCTACTTGTTGAGACTCGATCAACTTGAGTTCTGTGAAAATAAGGATAACAGCAAGGGTGCATTGACTTAACATAGGAACATGAACCATTGTCCAATGACTTAGCATCGAGATACCAACAAGTGTGGCGCCATGTAAAGCAAATGGCAGTCTTGCTGAAATTCTCATTTTCTCAGAAGAACTCAAGTTGATTGAATCTCAACAAGCAGTTCATGTTGGAAAGTATTGCTAGAATCCATTTTCAAAAGTAAGAATAGGGGTTCTTAAAATGAACATTAAAGCTTAGCCCACTTTGGAACTTTTGGTTTGTACTACTACCAGTCCTACAGTGTCCATATTACAGTTTACTTGAACAGCACTAGAACTATCCGGATTGATCCAATATAAACCAGTTGAAACAGGATCAGCCCGTTTACTCTTTATATCTAAACAGCTAGCACCTGGGTTGGATGGTGACTCCCCTAACTTAACTGGAAATACAAAGAGAACTTGCAATATAATGAACATACATTGTTCTGGTAAAGTGAAATGAGCTGGATTGGGTAATTGCCCCGGGGGTAATTGGTATTTTTATCCCATCGAATGAAGTTCGGAAGGATATAGGGAATGCCTCTGTCTGTCTGTCTGTCCGTCCTTCCGTCCATACATACATACGTACGTACGTCCATCTGTCCGGCAATAACTCAAATATCTTTGGCCCGATTTTGTTCATATTTTGTACACATATACCCTAGGGGGGTAGAAGTTCTGCTCGAAAGCCGATTTTCAAAATGGCTGCTCGTTTCAAAATGGCGGCTATTTAGTGCTGAATTTACAGTAATTTAGGTGCAATATGTAAAATTGTAATAGCAATATGTTTTAGATGTAACAAAATTATATAGGACATTAATAAAGCTAGAAATGTAGACATTAAAGAAGCACATGGCAGCCATCTTGAAAGATGGCGGCCTTTACTCATTATTTTACGATTTTTGCTGTCACTTGAAAAGTAGCGGAGCGATTTTGTTCATATTTGGTATGTGAATACTATAAGCATGACACACTGTCCTATGACACTTTTGGTAGAAGGCGGCCATTTTGAATTTTTTTTTGAAAAATGGCCGCCATTTTAACATATTTTACTATAACTCGAAAAGTAGTGAAGCGATTTTGTTCATATTTGGTATGTGAATACTGTAAGCATGGCACACTGTCTAATGACACTTTTGGTAGAAGGTGGCCATTTTTCAAAATGGCCACCATTTTAACGTATTTTACTGTAGCTCGAAAAGTAGTGGAGCGATTTTGTTTATATTTGGTATGTGAATACTATAAGCATGGCACACTGTCTAATGGCACTTTTGGTAGAAGGTGGCCATTTTGAAATATGGCCGCCATTTTAACGTATTTTACTATAACTTGAAAAGTAGTGGAGCGATTTCGTTCATATTTGGTATGTGAATACTATAAATATGGCACATGGTCTAATGACACTTTTGGTAGATACTATGCCAGATATTTTTGCTATATACTTTGTTTGTAAAAATGCCATCCATGGCTGTTCGATGGGATTCGCTACGCTTTGGCGTTGCTGTTGTTCTGGTTTGAAATTGACCACACCCTCGATGACAGCTGCCATTTTATTGATTTTAATGAGACTTCTTTTTAGAGCTACAAAATATTACTTATACATTTTACTTTGATTATGTTTTGAGTTTTAAGGATTAAAAAGACTCACAATTCTTTGTCAGTTTCCATGAACTGTTGGGCGTCCAGTTAAATGTGTTTGTATCATATATCCAACAGTTTTGTTTTTCTTGATTATAATTTGTCGCTTTACAAGTAGGTTCTTTCATGCACATTACTGTACACTCAACTATGGACAATAGTGTTGTCTGAAGGGTTGGCGATATATCATCTGGTGTTCCATTTATAACATCAAAATAATCGTCAACGATCTTACTTGTTACTGTGTGAATTATAACAAAGAATTGAAGATAGTTTAGGAACATGATTTGAAAATGTAGCTCGGTTGTTGGCTTGTGTTTTTCTTCGGTTTCTATCTACCTTCCTTTTTCTTTTTATTTATTTTGTTTGGTTGTTCTAGATTATTTTATTCTCATTGATAATCTATTGCACAAGTGAGATTGTCTGTTGCTGCATGTTAGTCCGCCATGTTCTCAATCATGTAATTCTATTTAGCCAAAGTATGCATGTAAGACTCTTTTGGTATAATTAGGTATGATTATGATTTCAAAGGATTGCCGGATGTCTTTATCGAAGTAACATGTCTTATAATAATGTAGTACTATTGAATTCAGTACTCTGAAGGGTTAATCACCCTCTAGCAAAAGATCAATATAGAAGTTACTCATGGAGGCCAGGTTTTAAAAGTAAAATATTGCATAAAAGTATGGAAGTTCTTGTTGAGTAAACATCGTTGTAAATAGTAAACAACAAATTCTACAGAAATCAGGCAGTTCATTCAAAGTTTAAGAATTCAGTTTATTTAAATATATGTTTTTTTTATGACATCTATCTTTTAGCTATTTCCATTTCATGATAATCGGCAATTAGGGAATAAAACACAATTTAATTGTAAAAAATTATTTTCACCCTTATAGATTTCTCGTATGGATAATCGAGACACTGCCATCTCTACGCAAGATATTGTCATCTTTCATCCTAAAAGTCACATGTGCAAGAGTTTACTTGTGACATCATTGGTTTAAAAAATAGAGAGTGTGTTTCCTCATTTGAGCCAAATATTTCTTACTCAGAATTTAAGCCCAAGATGAAATTTATTACTTAATACATATTTCTATCATGTTTTGATTCAAGACATGCAAGCATGGTTTCTAAATCAATGAACTATTCTGTATTTTCTAAAAGTAGGATACAATTTCAAATATTTAACATAATTTGTCCTGGTTATCTACTTTAATCCTTATAACCGTAACGTGTTTTGGTTAAGATTGTTTTTTAAGTTTTAGCACTAATCGCTCTGCTTTAAGCATGCAATTTGAAAAAAATATCACTAATTTATTCTATAGATACTAGTTTAATTAGTTAATAATTATCCCATCGACGAAGTTCAGAGGGATATAAGGAATGCCTCCATCCATCTGTGTGTCTGTCCATCCATCCTGGCGATAACTCAAATACCATTGGCCCAAGAAAAACTAATATATTTTACCATACCATGCGCTTATTCATTAAGCGATTCAATAATAAACTTTCTCTTTAAAAAATAAACCTTCCATTTGTTGAATTATTTTGCAGAGATCGCCTACTCCCCCTTCGTCCCATTTTTTTATCACTGGGCGTGATGAAGGGCGATCTTGAATGATCTATATTTCTCTATTTAAAAAGATATAATGATGAAAGAACTAAATAAAATAACAAAACATAACATAACATTAAGGTAAAACTCAATTGTCTGTTTAGCGCCTATTTCTAAATATCTTCTTACTCTGTTTCAGATAGTGAAAAACGCAAGGCAAAACGTAGTAAACATTCTAAGTCACCTATAGACTATGATCTCTATGACGATGATGATTCAAGAGACACAGAAGGAAGTAGTAAGGATCATTTACTAAGAGGTTATGTCACTATCGTGCCATATATGCCCGAGGTTTTTAGTGATATATGGCCCGACCTTGGGAGGGCCATTGATCTCTGAAAATTGAGGGAATATATGCCATGATAGTGACATAAACCGTTTATAACTTACCTATGATGATGTTAAAGAGTGGTCAGAAAGTATTGTTTTCTTATTTAATTGACTAATAAATGGTTAGAAAACAAAAATTGATGGTCTGTTCCAGTGTCTGGATTTGGCCCAATGCATTACTACGCGTGGTCAACTGAAGATAAAACTATGCAAGCAATTTTTTTCTAAACCTACAACTTTTGCCTTTTAAGGACAGGAATTTATCAATAAACATGCTTAATAATTAAAATATGAAATTAAAAGGTCTTTTTTCAACTTGCTTCAAATTGACCAATTTATTTTTTCACCTGTATTTGGTGCAAGTAACCATCGTTCAACTTTTGTAGCCATGATTTTTAATAACTCACTAGATATTTTGCCATTTTATGCAATCAAAATTAGTATGAGTAAAAATTAACACAGATTTTGAATTCAACGAGCAATAATATCTGCTGCTCTAGGGAAAAGTACCATACCTTTATATATATGTTGGTTTTATTGATACTTCAGATGAAGCTGCTCCTGCTGCGGCAAGCAGAACAGCAACAGAAGCTGCTCCAGAGGATGAATTTGGTGCCAAAGACTATCGCAAAATTATGGACCTTAAACTTGATCATAAATCTAGGCCATTATGGGTAGCACCAGATGGTCATATATTCCTTGAATCATTCTCACCAGTGTATAAACATGCCCATGACTTTTTGATTGCAATATCTGAGCCTGTCTGCCGTCCTGAACATATTCATGAGTATCGCCTTACTGCATATTCACTTTATGCAGCAGTATCAGTGGGTTTACAAACAAAAGACATTATTGAATATCTGAAACGTTTAAGTAAATGTACTGTACCAACGGGAATTGAGGATTTCATTACATTGTGTACTCTCAGTTATGGAAAAGTTAAACTGGTGCTGAAACATAATAAATATTTCTGTGAAAGTGCTCACCCAGAGGTGATTCAGAAGCTTCTGAAGGACCCAGTCATTCAGCAATGTCGTAAGCGGCCCCAGTTAGAGCAGGGGGGTAATCCTGCAGATGGGGAGCTTGTCACAGAGCAATTTTCAGCAAAACAAGGCTTGAAGGTGAACAATTTTGTCAAATAACAGTACAAGGTACTTGTCAGGTTGCACTTGAAGTAGAGTTTGATATCAATATTCCATTATTCCACTCCTTCTGACAGAAAATCTGAGTGGTATATTGCATCACAAAAATGTTTGTACACTGTACTTGCAGTGTCACAGATGTTAAATAATTTGTTTTTAAATTGTGGAAGTTTTGAACAATGTCTGCTTTAACTGCTCCCATTTTCATAGAAATTATAACTAACCATATACACTGTTGCATGTACATTGAAGGTCAACAAACCAGCTGCCCCCTCAGCCACTGCAGACCCCCAGGCCTCTGGTTCTGGAGACAACCCTGAAGATGTAAAACCTGATGTTCCTGAAGACATTGTTACATACTATGAGAAGATTGATGATGAAGAGGAGGATGAGGGTGAAGACATACAGACAGTGTCATTTGAGATTCAACAAGACCAAATAGAGACACTCCAGAAAAGGTACGTTTTGATATGTACAATGTAGACATTAGTTAATTGAAAGGGACATAAGGTTCACCAAAATGTGAGAGTCAAAATAAACAAAGATGGGGAAAATTTTCTTTTTTATTTATTTTAGGTACAATGTGACATGTAAAATGAAAGGTGTCTACAGCTACAAATACTGAACTGTTTAATTGGTTAATCTCATGTTCTATTTTCAAGGTGTATTGAACTGGAGTATCCCCTACTGGCAGAGTACGACTTCAGGAATGACACAGTCAATAAAGATATCAAGTAATCATTTCAATATTTGTCATATATCAATGTTTAACTCATTGCTAGCCAAAGCTATTTTAGAGGTTTTCTGCTGGTGACTGGCCGTTTTAGTGAAAACCTCTAAAATTATGAAGCCAATGACAATACATTACAATTGCAACCATCGATGTTCCCCTTGTGACCCCTCCAATACTTCATAAGGTTATTGGTACAAATTGTGTGACAATTATTGGTCAGCAATGAGTTGATATTAAGTATATTGGATTGGGTAATGATTGCATGTCATGTATTGTCTTGGTTACCTCACGTTATACTTGTGATATATTTTTACAAACAAAGCATAATTGCAAACAGGGTTTTACAACCCATCCAATAAAGACAGGGATTTTGAGTTGAATCTAATGGCAACATATGAGATCACACTTTGCATACATTTTAGAACACTTCAACGGCATTCTACTTTTATATATCACTTTCAGCATAGATCTGAAGCCCAGCACAGTGCTGAGACCATTCCAGGAGAAAAGTCTGCGTAAAATGTTTGGAAATGGAAGAGCAAGATCGGGTGTTGTAGTTCTTCCATGTGGTAAGTATTACACTGCCTTTCATCATTCATTATAGACACTGTTAATATGAAGAAATATGGAAAAAACAGAATTAATAGTTCATGTCTCAATGTCCACTTTGCCCCAGACTCTACAAAAGATTATGGATACTAATAAGAAAACTCTACATGTGTGAAGCAGCCAGTTTTATTCTTGTTTTCAAATCACCTTGCTACATACATTTATATGGCTTGCTTCAACTCAGCTCTGCAAGTTGGACTAATTACATATATCCTTCAAATCACCTTGCTACATACATTTATATGGCTCGCTTCAACTCAGCTCTGTAAGGTGGACTAATTACATATATCCTTCAAATCACCTTGCTACATACATTTATATGGCTCGCTTCAACTCAGCTCTGTAAGGTGGACTAATTACATATATCCTTCAAATCACCTTGCTACATACATTTATTTGGCTTGCTTCAACTCAGCTCTGCAAGGTGGACTAATTACATATATCCTTCAAATCACCTTGCTACATACATTTATATGGCTCGCTTCAACTCAGCTCTGTAAGGTGGACTAATTACATATATCCTTCAAATCACTTTGCTACATACATTTATATGGCTTGCTTCAACTCAGCTCTGCAAGTTGGACTAATTACATATATCCTTCAAATCACCTTGCTACATACATTTATATGGCTTGCTTCAACTCAGCTCTGCAAGGTGGACTAATTACATATATCCTTCAAATCACCTTGCTCCATACATTTATATGGCTTGCTTCAACTCAGCTCTGCAAGGTGGACTAATTACATATATCCTTCAAATCACCTTGCTACATACATTTATATGGCTTGCTTCAACTCAGCTGTGCAAGGTGGACTAATTACATATATCCTTCAAATCACCTTGCTACATACATTTATATGGCTTGCTTCAACTCAGCTCTGCAAGGTGGACTAATTACATATATCCTTCCAATCAGCTTGCTACATACATTTTTATGGCTTGCTTCAACTCAGCTGTGCAAGGTGGACTAATTACATATATCCTTCAAATCACCTTGCTACATACATTTATATGGCTTGCTTCAACTCAGCTCTGTAAGGTGGACTCATTACATATATCCTTCAAATCACCTTGCTACATACATTTATATGGCTCGCTTCAACTCAGCTCTGTAAGGTGGACTCATTACATATATCCTTCAAATCACCGTGCTACATACATTTATATGGCTCGCTTCAACTCAGCTCTGTAAGGTGGACTAATTACATATATCCTTCAAATCACCTTGCTACATACATTTATATGGCTTGCTTCAACTCAGCTCTGCAAGTTGGACTAATTACATATATCCTTCAAATCACCTTGCTACATACATTTATATGGCTTGCTTCAACTCAGCTCTGTAAGGTGGACTAATTACATATATCCTTCAAATCACCTTGCTACATACATTTATATGGCTTGCCTCAACTCAGCTCTGTAAGGTGGACTAATTACATATATCCTTCAAATCACCTTGCTACATACATTTATATGGCTTGCTTCAACTCAGCTCTGTAAGGTGGACTAATTACATATATCCATCAAATCACCTTGCTACATACATTTATATGGCTTGCTTCAACTCAGCTCTGCAAGGTGGACTAATTACATATATCCTTCAAATCACCTTGCTACACCTTGCTACATATGGCTCGCTTCAACTCAGCTCTGCAAGGTGGACTAATTACATATATCCTTCAAATCACCTTGCTACATACATTTATATGGCTTGCTTCAACTCAGCTCTGCAAGGTGGACTAATTACATATATCCTTCAAATCACCTTGCTACATACATTTATATGGCTTGCTTCAACTCAGCTCTGCAAGGTGGACTCATTACATATATCCATCAAATCACCTTGCTCCATACATTTATATGGCTTGCTTCAACTCAGCTCTGCAAGGTGGACTAATTACATATATCCTTCAAATCACCTTGCTCCATACATTTATATGGCTTGCTTCAACTCAGCTCTGCAAGGTGGACTAATTACATATATCCTTCAAATCACCTTGCTACATACATTTATATGGCTTGCTTCAACTCAGCTCTGCAAGGTGGACTTATTACATATATCCTTCAAATCACCTTGCTACATACATTTATATGGCTTGCTTCAACTCAGCTCTGCAAGGTGGACTAATTACATATATCCATCAAATCACCTTGCTCCGTACATTTATATGGCTTGCTTCAACTCAGCTCTGCAAGGTGGACTAATTACATATATCCTTCAAATCACCTTGCTACATACATTTATATGGCTTGCTTCAACTCAGCTCTGCAAGGTGGACTAATTACATATATCCTTCAAATCACCTTGCTCCATACATTTATATGGCTTGCTTCAACTCAGCTCTGTAAGGTGGACTAATTACATATATCCATCAAATCATCTTGCTCCATACATTTATATGGCTTGCCTCAACTCAGCTCTGTAAGGTGGACTAATTACATATATCCTTCAAATCACCTTGCTACATACATTTATATGGCTTGCTTCAACTCAGCTCTGTAAGGTGGACTCATTACATATATCCTTCAAATCACCTTGCTACATACATTTATATGGCTTGCTTCAACTCAGCTCTGCAAGGTGGACTAATTACATATATCCTTCAAATCACCTTGCTACATACATTTATATGGCTTGCTTCAACTCAGCTCTGTAAGGTGGACTGATTACATATATCCTTCAGTTATTTAGAGTATTTTGTACATTTATAGTCTATCAACACGTGCTATTTTCTCTTCAGGTGCTGGCAAAACCCTAGTGGGAGTAACTGCCTGTTGTACTGTACGTAAACGTGCCTTGGTCCTTTGTACATCTGGAGTAGCTGTGGAACAATGGAGATCTCAGGTAAATACATATGTATAACTCAGGAAAATATATATATGTACAGTTCAGGTAAATACATGTGTATTGTAGTGTACATGTATAGTGTAAGTATAAGGACTGATCAATAAAAAATGAACATTTTTTCATCAGACAACTTACCCAAAAGTTCATGGTATATATGTGCTTAACATGTCAAAAATAAATTAAATGTCCATACTTCTTCAGTTCAAGATGTGGTCCACAGCTGATGACCAAATTATATGTAGATTCACCTCAGATGCCAAAGATAAACCAATGGGTGAGTAGACCAAATGTAAAAGAATGTATTTTGGAATACATTCCGTGTCGGAAAAATTCAGATTCATTTAAAAGTACACCATTTCCAAGGAAACAAACTCTGACATCCGAAACTATAATCTTAAGTTCAAAGAGGCAGTTTAATCCCCCAATCGTCTCCATTCAGAAACTATAATCTTAAGTTCAAAGAGGCAGTTTAATCCCCCAATCGTCTCCATTTAGAAACTATAATCTTAAGTTCAAAGAGCCAGTTTAATCCTCCTATCGTCTCCATTCAGAAACTATAATCTTAAGTTCAAAGAGGCAGTTTAATCCCCAAATTGTCTCCATTTAGAAACTATAATCTTAAAGATCTAATAGCAAAGGTTTTGCAAAAATGAATCAATATAGTTTAAAAGAAATGTACATATAATGAAGAAATAAATATATAATGAAAAAATAGGATATGTGTTTGTAATATTGGTATAACTTAAGATTAAAAAGTGTCACTATCTCTTTCATTTTTCAACAAATATAGGCTCACGTGACATGTGACGCGGGGCAGGCAATTTTGATCTATCGTAGACCATATCAGTATCAAATTGCCGATATTTCAACCTCATCTTGCGGGGCCAATTCGATTTTAAACAACTTAAATTTGGTGTCAAAATAAAGCTGGTCACGCCCACTTTCATAGTTATCAATGAATCATTTACTACGACTACTATATTCATTTAGGAGGTGTGTAAAGTTGACCAATCAGAAAGACAGTTGTTCCATATATGGCAGTTCATTAACATATTCAGTGTTTACTACTGCTTTTCATGTCATGACAACACGAGTAGTAACCAATCAAGATGCCGTATTTTATCACGCGAGTTCAGAGTTCAGCGTGACCTAATGCACATGACATGCAGTCTGAGCTGATCGCGATGTTGAACAATTTCTGCTCGGAATTTGTCCAGATAAATCAGCGATTCTAAATTAAGGTAGGATCTGCCATTTCTTCCTGTGCAAGTTATAACTTATCTCTATCAAATCCTAAAGTTTTGGATGAAGATACGAAGGATATATTTAAAAACGAAGCGGCTAATTTGACGATCTGATTTTGCAATTTGCAATGGCCAATTTACTGCAAGTCTGCGCAAAGTCTTGTATCTAAATGCTTGTTAAGCCACTCAAAAACAAGATCCATATTTTCTAAATTTGATAACTTTGCAGAAAACCTGTTTTCATAACCTGTTTTGTGCGTCTAAATTTGAGTAGGATAAAGCTGGGAATTTTATTCCAAGGATAAAGGATCGCCAGTCAATGGCAACGGGTCTTCATTCCAGAACTCACGATTTTTGTTGATTCTCTGTCATAGTACTTGTCTAAAGTCCCCATATCTGCTCTCTTACTGGCATACTTGGACACATTTCCCCTCCTTAAATTGTCCTCAGGAAAATTACATTCTCTCGCCGATTTACATAGCCATTTCTCAGAACCCGGGAATCAGAATCGCTGATGTTTGCCATATTGAATATGTACTGTAATATCTGTAATACTCTACATTGCCTGCTACGCGTAATGGTCACGTGACTAGCGCGATACAGGGAAAATGGGGAATCTCAAAACAACAATTTTTGGGCACTTTTATTGCAAATTTCAGGTATTTATAAGTGTTTGTGATACAAAATATAATCCACGGACATAAATGAACATCCAAACTACATATTTTATTAAATTTTGGAGCCTTTTTTGCTCTTAAATCAACATCTTTAAGTTCAAAGAGCCAGTTTAATCCTCCTATCGTCTCCATTCAGAAACTATAATCTTAAGTTCAAAGAGGCAGTTTAATCCCCCAATCGTCTCCATTCAGAAACTATAATCTTAAGTTCAAAGAGGCAGTTTAATCCCCCAATCATCTCCATTCAGAAACTATAATCTTAAGTTCAAAGAGCCAGTTTAATCCCCCAATCATCTCCATTCAGAAACTATAATCTTAAGTTCAAAGAGGCAGTTTAATCCCCAAATCGTCTCCATTTAGAAACTATAATCTTAAGTTCAAAGAGCCAGTTTAATCCTCCTATCGTCTCCATTCAGAAACTATAATCTTAAGTTCAAAGAGGCAGTTTAATCCCCCAATCGTCTCCATTCAGAAACTATAATCTTAAGTTCAAAGAGGCAGTTTAATCCCCCAATCATCTCCATTCAGAAAATATTGTCATAAATTACACAAAATAATCTCTGAATGATTTCCAGCCTCCAGTTATTTTCCTAGGAGCTTTTTTCTTTTGTATTCTAGGTAGTTCTATATGCATCAGTACATACTCCATGATAGCTCATTCTACTAAGAGATCTTGGGAAGCTGAGAAAGTAATGGAATGGCTACAGACCCAGGAGTGGGGAATCATGGTGCTTGATGGTAAGATAACATGTTGTATTGTTCACCCTTCCAGAGGTGGACTGGAACAGTTGTATACCTATACAAGTTATGTGATGGTTGTGATCATAACTCCAAATAAGGGCACTTGATATTTAGTCAAATGCTGACATGATATACTATTTATTATGTCACCACCAAAAGTGGTGACATATTGTTATGGTCTCCGTTTTTTTGCGACGGCGGTTGGTGGTTGGCGGTTGGTGGTTGGCGGTTGGTGGTTGGCGTCCGGCGTCTGTAACAATTTCTTACAACTTCCTATAACTTAACAAATACTGTTTAGACTGACTTCAATTTTTTTCTAAATCATCTACATGTTCTTAGAAGTTCAAATCTGACTTTAGATTTGACATTTGACCTTCAATGACCTTCTCAAGGTCAAAAAGGTCTTTTTTCAACTTGCTTCACATTGACTATTTTTTTTTTCAAAATCATCTACATGTTCTCAGAAATTCAAATCTGACTTTAGATTTGACTTTAGATTTGACATTTGACCTTCAAATCTGACTTTAGATTTGACATTTGACCTTCAATGACCTTCTCAAGGTCAAAAAAGGTCGAAAAGGTCTGTTTTCAACTTGCTTCAAATTGACTAAATTTTTTTTTCAAAATCATCTACGTGTTCTCAGAAATTCAAATCTGACTTAAGATTTGACTTAAGATTTGACATTTGACCTTCAATGACCTTCTCAAAGTCAAAAAAGGTCAAAAAGGTCTTTTTTCAACTTGCTTCAAATTGACTAAATTTTTTTTTCAAAATCATCTACATGTTCTCAGAAATTCAAATCTGACTTTAGATTTGACTTTAGATTTGACATTGGACCTTCAAATCTGACTTTAGATTTGACATTTGACCTTCAATGACCTTCTCAAGGTCAAAAAAGGTCAAAAAGGTCTGTTTTCAACTTGCTTCAAATTGACTAAATTTTTTTTTCAAAATCATCTACGTGTTCTCAGAAATTCAAATCTGACTTAAGATTTGACATTTGACCTTCTCAAGGTCAAAAAAGGTCAAAAAGGTCTGTTTTCAACTTGCTTCAAATTGACTAAAACATTTTTTCAAAATCATCTACGTGTTCTCAGAAATTCAAATCTGACTTTAGATTTGACTTAAGATTTGACATTTGACCTTCAATGACCTTCTCAAGTCAAAAAAGGTCAAAAAGGTCTTTTTTCAACTTGCTTCAAATTGACTAAATTTTTTTTTCAAAATCATCTACATGTTCTCAGAAATTCAAATCTGACTTTAGATTTGAGATTTGACCTTCAATGACCTTCTCAAAGTCAAAAAAGGTCAAAAGGTCTTTTTTCAACTTGCTTCAAATTGACTAAATTTTTTTTTCAAAATCATCTACATGTTCTCAGAAATTCAAATCTGACTTTAGATTTGACATTTGACCTTCAATGACCTTCTCAATGTCAAAAAGGGTCAAAAAGGTATTTTTTCATCTTGCTTCAAATTGACTAAATTTTTTTTTCAAAATCATCTACATGTTCTCAGAAATTCAAATCTGACTTTAGATTTGACATTTGACCTTCAATGACCTTCTCAAGGTCAAAAAAGGTCAAAAAGGTCTTTTTCAACTTGCTTTAAATTGACTAATTTTTTTTACAAAATCATCTACATGTTCTCAGAAATTCAAATCTGACTTTAGATTTGACATTTGACCTTTAATGAAGGTCAAAAAGATCTGTTTTCAACTTGCTTCAAATTGACCAAATTTTTTTTTCAAAATCATCTACATCTTTTCAAAAGTTAAAATTTGACTTTACAAGTTCTCAGAAGTTCAAATCTGACTTTAGATTTGACCTTTGACCTTCAATGACCTTCTCAAGGTCAAAAGGTATTTTCCAACTTGCTTTAAATTGACCAAATTGTTTTAGGTGGTGACATTTTGTCATGTTAATGCCTTGTTGTATACATGTTATATTAGAACGAAACTGTTGATGAAACATTCTATTCTGAAAAATTATATCTACCAGTATCACAGGCAGGTATCGAAAAATTTGTCCGCTGTGACGGAGCGTGTTATTTTGCATAGAAACACTAGGAATCCACAAAATTTATTTTTTTACTCATATGTTTTACCATATCAAAGAAAATTACTGACTCCATGCAATGAATATATCATTTGCGGGTAACTTTAACTTCTTTTTGAAGTCCAACAACGCTAAGAGTAAAAGCTATTGAAAACGGCGTCGGAGTATCATACTCCAAAATGTACCATTTCTTTTATTTCTTTTTAATGGTACAATGTAGCGACACGATAATATTTACATATGTTTTCAGCATAACTCTGAAGGTATTAATGATATCTTGATGCATTGGGTATTTTTAATTTTTTTGATAAAAAATAATAATTAGATTTTTTGTCCGGTGTGACGGAGCAGTTTCAAATCTGAAATACGTTAAGAATTTAGATTTATAATATATCTCTTTACAACTACACGTTAGAGGAGCGAGCGTGTCAAATCTCGTAAAGTATTCTGAAAAATGAAACGTAATAAAATTACACGATTCAAATTCTGAGATGTATATACGACCACTCTTTAAGCATCTTTTCTCAGTTTGTACTGCAATCCAACTTATGCATGGTAACTCATGAAAATGATAGTCAACTTCATTTAAGTATAGGGTATTTCCCTTTCGTATTGCCTTCTGTGGATCCATCGGCCTGACATGGTCATTTTTTACGGTAACTTGATTATTTGAAGTAAAATGATTTGCTGAAGATGAGGCTAAATACATATGATGGTATGGCATGTGGATTGTTCTACCCTCTTTAGTCGTTCCAAAAGGTAAGTTGAGTGTATCTTGAAATACGAAAATGCAAAATTTGATTTTAAGATCGTTCTTTATTTGAATAAGAGTTATGGCTATCTGATGCAACTACAGTAAAACATGTGTACAGTGAACACATATGGAGCCCAAAAATGTGTTCCCGTTTGGTAGATGTTCACTTCATACAGGCAATTTCATACAGAAGTCAGAGGAATATTTGATAAGAAAAGGTGTTCACTAGAGAAAGATATTCATTGAGACAGGTTTTACAGTGCAGCACGTTTACCAAGACTTTTTTTATAATTTTAGTCTATGCAAAACAATGAATTTCATGAATTTCAAATAAATACAAATTAAATCTGTATTGGGATCATCTTATGTACAGAAATATTATGTGGTAAAAGGTTATACATCTGTCGGAATGCAGGATGTCTGTGTCTGTGAAATATTATGTTGAGTTTACACCATGTTGATTCATGTTGATTTCAGTACAAACCTCCGTTGTCGTTTTTATATCTCAGATTTACATTACCCCAGATCTCCAAGAGACTACTTGTCATAATTTAGGAAAGTGATTTGTGACGTTCTCTCTTCTAAGGGTACTTTTAAAAGATATAATTTGCATCTTAAATTCTTAACGTAGTTCACAGTTAAAGCTGCTCCGTCACAGCGGACAAAAAATATAAACATTATTTTTTATAAAAATTATTAAAAATACCCAATACATCAAGATATCATTAATACCTTCAGAGTTATGCTGAAAACACATGTAAATATTATCGTATCACTATATTGTACCATTAAAAATAAATAAAAGAAATGGTACATTTTGGAGTATGATACCCCGGCGCCGTTTTCAATAGCTTTTACTCTTAGCGTTGTTGGACTTCAAACAAAAGTTAAAGTTACCTGCAAATGATATACCCATTGCATGGAGTAAGAAATTTTCTTTGGAATAGCGAAACATATGAGTAAAAAAATAAATTGTCTGGGTTTCTTAGTGTTTCTATGCAAAATAGCACGCTCCGTCACAGCGGACAAATTTTTCGATACCAGCCTGTGAGTATTTCTTAAATATGTCAAGTTATCTTCTTACTTTTAAACAGGTCCATTAAATATTTCAAAATCAATAGAACATATACATTTCAGAGGTGCACACTATTCCTGCCAAGATGTTCAGGAGAGTTCTCACAATAGTACAGGCCCATTGTAAACTTGGCCTCACTGCAACACTCGTAAGGGAGGATGATAAAATCACAGATCTCAATTTCCTGATTGGACCAAAACTCTATGAGGCCAACTGGCTGGAGTTGCAGAGAAATAACTATATAGCCAAAGTGCAATGTGCTGAGGTAGAGTATTCAATTTTAATTCAATAGATAACAGAAATTGATGCCGAGAATTTGGGTAGAGTGATACACATGTACTTAGGGGAGGGATCAAGAGTTTGATGTTGGATTGAAAACTAAATAAATCTAGTAATGGGTAGGGGGTTCAAAGCCATTTAAATTGACAAATCTGACAAATCTGACAAATTTCAACATTTCATATTTTTGCAATTTTGACTCAGACTGCCTTGAGAATAAAGATTTTACTTCATGCTTTCTTATATCAAGATCATGCCAATGGATTTTATTCTATCAATAGGAATTGAAAAAACTAGATCTTTTTTAGAATTTTTTTTTCAAATTCTCAAACCAGAATTAAAGGGTTCTAGTTTTCGCTTGCATCGGAATTGATTAATATTTCATTGTGTTGATCCAAACACATTTTGTCTGCTATTAACTTTCATGGTATTTAGTTTTGGGAGGGAGGGAACTATTCAGCTTTCAATCCGACTTTGAACTTTTGATGCCTCCCCTTACTCAGAGTTTTGAAACACTAGTTATAAAAACATTAGTCAATTGATATACATATACCTAAAATACATGAAATTGTACTCGATTTTTAAAAATAAACATATTATTCACCTTGATTTGATGGAAATGCTCTTTGTTTGGGTATAGACTTTTTTGATTATAGTGTATAATTTTTTCCTTCTAAATTCCCTTTGTAGGTATGGTGCCCCATGACTCCAGAATTCTACAGGGAATACCTCAACACAAGGACTGCTAAGAAAATGGTTAGAATTTGTATTTATATCCAATGCATGAGTTTCCATATAGCTTTGATATCTTGGTAAAGTCTCATCTTTAGGAGGTCTGCATTTTTTATTACTATTAAAGACCAACAGTTTCTTCTATTTGATGGCATATTTGAATTATATGTGTACAAATTTTATTTCCACAGTTATTTACCTTTATTCAAATTTTAAAGATTTTCATGTTCGGGGTCAGGCTAGATCCCCATTGACACAATGTTGAAAACCATTTTAAAGTTCATTTACTCTTATAATAATCACAATTTTAATGTTAAATCACAATCTACATGTCAATAAGTTCATATACTAAGTAGTAACATTCTTATGGTGTTTTACGTTGATCCAAGTAGAATTACTTGTTAGATCAAGAAATTAAGTGGCTCTTGTTATATGTGTCCATGTATTCTGCCCCTGCCAATACCCATGCTGCCATCTATTATTCAATTTATATAGAAAATGATCTATTGTCAGCTGTATATCCTTATTCAATGTTCTTGATTTGTTAGTTTATTTCATGTACAAAATGTCTTTATTTTGAATAGTTAAACCTGTCTTCTCAGCACATACTCCACAGACTTCTGTATGAAATTGCCTCTGTTGAAAATACTTATCTACATTGAACTCATTTTTGTGGCTTCATAGGTGTTCACTGTGCACAGGTTTTACAGTACTATAGTGTGTGATATTTCATCTACTAATAAACATGTTTTCAATTTTTAGCTTTTATATGTGATGAATCCCAACAAATACAGAAACTGCCAGTTCCTCATACGATTCCATGAGAGGAGGAATGATAAAATCATTGTATTCTCCGACAATGTATTTGCATTAAAGAGCTATGCCATTAGAATGAACAAGTAAGTGAGAAGGAAGAATGATAAAATCATTGTATTCTCCGACAATGTATTTGCATTGAAGAGCTATACCATTAGAATATAATGTCTTGAAATACATGTGTTTATCTACATTGCAGGCCCTATCTGTATGGACCTACATCACAAGGGGAAAGACTGAACATTTTGCAGAACTTCCAACATAACCCCAAGGTCAACACAATATTTGTATCAAAGGTAGGGCTCAAATCATGAATCATGTAACTTGTTAGTGGATTTTATGAGGAAGTTTATTGTATTGTTGTATTGGACTTTATGAGGAAGTTTATTGTATATTGTAAGTGTTAGTGTACTAATTTATTTTATATTATATTTGTTCTATGATATACTTTGTGATTGATCCCGGTATATATATATAATAGGGTTTTACATATCTTTGTTACATATACCTGTTTCAGGTTGCTGATAATTCCTTTGATCTCCCCGAGGCCAATGTCCTTATCCAAATATCAGCCCATGGGGGATCCAGAAGGCAGGAGGCACAGCGGCTTGGTAGAATTCTCAGAGCTAAGAAAGGTAACTCATTTATATTACAAATTACCTTGCCATTTGGTCGATGTAGCACAATCAGGCCCATTCATTTATATTACAAATTACCTTGCCATTTGGTCGATGTAGCACAATCAGGCCCATTCATTTATATTACAAATTACCTTGCCATTTGGTCGATGTAGCACAATCAGGCCCATTCATTTATATTACAAATTACCTTGCCATTTGGTCTATGTAGCACAATCAGGCCCGTTCATTTATATTACAAATTACCTTGCCATTTGGTCGATGTAGCACAATCAGGCCCATTCATTTATATTACAAATTACCTTGCCATTTGGTCTATGTAGCACAATCAGGCCCGTTCATTTATATTACAAATTACCTTGCTATTTGGTCAATGTCGTTCAATTAGGTCCATTTCTCGATCCCATTAGCATGGAGAAAATCAATTTCAAACTGTATTTGTGTACTTTGTGGCTTATTCTAACAAATGTAATTCTTCAAAGGAATTTAAACACTTCCACTGAACATTCTTATTTGCATACTGGTGTTCTGATTCAGGAGCTGCAGCAGAGGAATACAACGCATTCTTTTACTCCCTGGTGTCGCAAGACTCACTTGAGATGCAATACTCCTCTAAGAGGCAGAGATTTTTGGTCAACCAGGGCTATGCTTACAAAATAATCACCAAAATGGCTGGCATGGATGAGGTTTGTGTATTTCCATTACATACAAAAACGGGAGAATATTATTGTTTTGATGGTGGCCTCATTGGATAGCATCCAATTCTTGTCATTTAGATTCTTTGAAACTGCTTGCTTGATTGATTTACATTTTAAGATTGTATTAAAAAGCATGAAAGCCAGTTTGAACAGTACATACTATGTCACGCAAAGGGCTTTAAACAGAGAAAGTTCTAAAAATATTTTTACACTCGCTTGATGATCATTTAGATGAGATAATATCTTTAAATTGTGTTAAATTGTCACTTGTTATTTTTCACGAATATTGCATTTCCAAATACAGTAATGATAAAATTTGAATAAGTGTTGTGTCAGAGGATTCAATAAAATACAAGTCTCGATTTGGAGAAAAAAGTTCATCAGTATGCTAATATTTTTTTATGAAAAATCTAGAAATATCACCCAAATTTAAATTTGACTTTTCAAAAGAAGACATTCAAATCTATATTATGTAAAATAAATAGTACCGTGGGTACTGGGCTCACATGGTATTGCTCAAAAGTGAATGAATGATGGCTAAAATGGCAATTTTTTGTAACAAAATTATGTCATACAACTACTCTTTACAGTAACATGGCTTTTTACAATGCAGGACACCTGAAATTATTTGTAACGCTAGAAAATGGGCCAAAAGTGAATTTTGCAAGACAAAAATGGTGACCATTTTAAAAATAGGCAAGCTTTTGAACCAGGAGTCATAGGGGAGTTTTCTGTTTTCTGTGTTGATGTTGAACAAAAATAAGTTATAATGGGAATCCTATCTACAGAGGTTTTAGGCAAATAGTCCAAAAGACAGATGGAGATATCAATGTTAACTAAAATGGCTGAAAAAAAACAAAAACAAAAACGGATATATAATTTTATGCAGATTTTTTGTAACAAAATTAGTTCATAAAACTGCTCTTTACATTGACATTGCAGGAAACCTGAAATTATTTGTAAAGCTAGGAAATGGGCCAAAATGAATTTTGCAAGGACAAAAATGGTGACCATTTTGAAAATAGGCAAGCTTTTGAATCAGGAGTCACAGGGTAGTTTTCTACATTGATGCTGATCAAAAACAACTTAAGAGAATCCTATCGACAGAGGTTTTAAGCCAAATGGTCCGAAAGTGGATTTTGCGAGACAGATAGACAAATCAATATGGATGCAATGCCTCATTCATCTTTCATTTGAATGGATTAAAAAGTGCAGTGTGTTCTTTTCACAAGTATGCACAAAATGTGTTTGACATTTGAAAATGGTCATCTTTTGATTGTTTCAACAATTACATAATTCAACAAATTTAAAATTCTTTTGTTACATTGATCAACCACAGCTTGCGGCGGAAACATAATTTGACATGAACATTGCTTATATTTCAGGAGGACTTGCACTATGGCACCAAGGAAGAGCAGGCTCAGTTGCTACAGAAAGTCCTTGCTGCAAATGATACAGATGCTGAGGAAGAGAGGATGGCAGGAGATAATCTCATTCTTCCCAAATCACAGGTAACTTGGGTTTACAATTCCATATGGATAGAGACATTCTTACACTATATTGTGAAACTCTGATCATTTTTCAGCTGAAATTTTAAATGATATGTATCTGGTTATGACGAGGTATGATGTTGATACTGAAAAAGATTATCCAAAAATATGTAAGAGTAATTTAAAGTGTGGATATTTGAATTGTATTTTAAACTGTATTTGAATATTAGTTTAGGCCTAATGTATAATTTTTGTAATTTCAGATGAGGAGAAAGGTTGGCAATATGAGTTCTATGTCTGGGGCGGATGATACTATTTACATGGAATATAAAGCAAAGAAGAAGGACACTTTTGTGCATCCCTTATTCAAGAAGTTCAGAAAATAGTTGGAGAGTAGTTATATGTGGGAATAGCAAACTATTAATGGGTTGAGTCATTAGAGAAGTCCATGATAAATGTACATTCTTTATTTAAGAAGTTTTATAAATAGACTCTAATGAGAATTGAAAGAATGGAAACTAATTATCGCTTATTACCATAAGACAGCCATTGATAAAGTAATGTACAGGGTGTACAATTATTTTTTTATGCATATTATGGGTGTTGTAGTCTGTCTTACATTTTATGAAAGATAAAAGGGAGCTAGTATAACATTTGCTTGATAATATTGTGAATAAGGACTCTTGTTTTCATAATGCCAAAAATCATGTGAAAAAACTAATTCCAATATTGTACAGAGAAATGGAAATAAATGTCTGGAATATGGCTGCAACTTTACATTTTGTATTAAACAATAAAGATAACATAAACCATAATATTGTTGTATTTTGAGTACTTGATTATTAACACCACAATAATACCACATAATATGATTAATAAAACAATACCACACTACTATGCTTTGGGTCAAAACAAACATCAACTCTGCAAGAAATGCTGTAACAACATGTTTAGCAAAACACAGAAAAATGTTTTGATATGGTCAATATTTATCACATAAAAATATAGTGCTCAATTCCAGTAGGCTGCCATCTTTTAAGATTTCACTCAGGAAGTGATGTCATCAACTCTCCACATATAGCATTAGAGGTAAGGAACTAGTCGATGACATCACTTACTTAGCGAAATCTGAAAAGATAGTATCTTACTGGAAATGAGTACCACATTTTTAAATGATCAATATTGACTATATTACAACATTTTCCTGTGTTTTGCTAAATATGGATGGCAAGGAATATGCCTCTAATAAAACATACTTAATTCTGGCTACAAATAAAATAAAATATATATTAACACAACAATTCAACAAAATAACATTGAGAGGACTGAAAACTTATTGAAAAGTGCTACATAAAATAAATCTCACAAAGATTCTCTGCTGTTGCAACAATACATTCACTAAAAACATCTAAAACAATTTTCAATATACAATATAGCAAAACAGAAATAAATAAATACACTGTATATTCAATTCAATATGTAAACAATATAATCAACTTTTATATTCAATAACATAATAGAAGTAAGTTCCTACAATACCCTTTCAACCAAATCACTATTATATACAGGGTGGTCCAAAAAAAAGTGAACCCCTGCAACTGGCCATATTTCCCTTATTACTTGCAGGAATTCTTTTTTATTTTCACATGTTGTAGAGGAAGGTCTAAAATTTATGTTGGTACCATAGATTTTTCTTAGTCTTGAAATTTGCAGAAATAATAAGCCCTAACCAAACATTACTGAAAATGGATAAATTGTGATTTTCAATATCCGCGATTCTTCAACCCTTAAATACCTTTCCCCTGAACTTTTTTAAGCTGCAGTCTTAAAGAACTAAAATTTTCTGACTTTGTTTAATTTTAAATCCTGCACATTATGGCTTAAAACTAGCATCCTACATTTGTTGGTTGCAAAGTTATTGTGATCCAAGAGATGTGCTAAGCTTCCACAGACAAAAACATTTTCCAGTGAAATCATGAGCATACCCCTATATGATCTTGAATTGTCAATATCTTCATAAATCATAGACCAATTCTAATGATATATGGCTCAAAACATTGAATATTGGATTTTCTTTTGATTTTTTAAAGATATTTGATGAAGGGGTTATCAGATTCCTGGTCACAGGGGGCAACTTCCTTCCATAAGAGGCCCCCCTCTAACTGTTGGTGTAGGTAACATACCCCTGAACTGTTGAACAGTTAAAAATGCTTCAAAATGATCAATGAAAGTGTGAAATGTGTTTTCTGCTTGTATAGTGTCCCTTTTGTCATATGGTAGGGTTTTAAACTTGTATCTCTAACTGAAAGCTGTTTAAGATCATCCAATGTGTTTCAACAATTTTCGTGAATCACATTTGTAAAATTTTGTACAATGTCTAATTTCCAGGCATGTTTGTAAAACGCTTGTAATTTCTTCAAAATTTAAGACTGAGAATAAATTATGGCATCAACCAAAATTTTAGACCTTTCTCTACAACATGTGATAATATGAGCCAATTCATGCATGTAATTAGAAAAATGTAGCCTGTTGCAGGGGTTCACTTTTTTTTGGACCACCCTGTATATATATATAGTAATTTGGTCTTGTAAAGGCCTATATGTACATAATAATAATTCATCCACCAGAAATGTTATTAACAATAAAATTAAAAACTATACTTTTCTTACCATATCATTCATGTAAAGCTCTCTGTACCAATTTGTGCATTGTAATTTTATTGAATAAAGCCTACATGGTAACAATTTATCCAATCATTTCATTTGTGTATATTTGTATGTCCTTATGATAAATCAATATGAGCATTTGGATGATTTTATAGATATTTTTAGAAATTATGTTGACATCAATCTGAGGAATTGATACTCTTGCTCAAAGTCTCTGGACCCCATCCCTTTATATAGAGGAGTGATGGTAGAATCAGTAGGGCTTAATAAAGCAATTGATTGGTGCAATGGTTCATTGGTAATTACCATAATAAAGTACTGACTACATTTTGTCTATCTCCCCACAATGGTGAGGGATTCTGACAAGTATTGTCCGTGTCAATATTGTTTAATTTCTTATTCATTTTTTGAAGTTTATCGGATATTTGATTTTTTGAACAAACTCTGGGTTGTTTTCTTCAAATTCTGCTATAGTTCCATTTATCTTATCTGCAGGCACAATATCATCAAATTCATCACTTGTTTCTTCCTCAATGTATTTTACTTTCCTTGGCCTTTTACTTCTGCGAAGTATTTTCTCAGATAAATCGACATGTTGATCAGTTTTTTCAACATCCATTGTAATAGTTTTGGTTTTACTTTTCTTTACTATTTTGGGAGATTTTGTTTTTCGTTTGTAACCACTCTCTTCATTGATTGGTTCATCTTCACTTTCACTTTTCTTTCTCTTTTTCTTAGGTTTTGTTTTTTGCTTCTCACCACTCTCTTCACTGTTTGGTTTTGTTTTTCCTTTGTTGGCTAGTTCGGTTGTGCTATCTTCTGTTGAGAACATTTTACGCTTGGTGTAGTCAGCTCTTTTCTGTTCCTGGAATTAACAAATTTGAAAATACACATTTGATAAATATTTGAGCTAGGTAGGACATTTCAGAATTGTATTACAGTAATAAACAATTAAAATCAGTCTAGTGGAACACCTAAGTGTTTAAGTGAAACATCTCCATGAGTGTGAGACATTTAAAGCTACATCATCCACTGACTTTATATCAAATGAACTTCCACAGGTGGAACTCCCAAGTGAAGGACATTTAGGAGGTACCAAAGGCATTCCACTTGCACATGTTTACTCCATATAGAGCTAATATAAATAGTTTATTTTGTAGCAGTTAAAGGCAGATTCAGAATTGATTCAAAATTGCGAGCATGTACAACTGGCCTACCAATCTATTTGTTATGATCTCGAATACTCAAATATCTCCCTAAAGATCTGTGATATGTCAAATTCTCAATTTCAAATTTTCCTAAATAATAACAAAAAATGGTAACCATGAATCTTGAACACACAATGCGGTCTCGGGAACTTCCCGGGACCACGCCTGTCTGAGGGTCGGTTTAAAAACAATCGCTAGCTCGGAAGAGAAAGATAATACACTGTTATAAAAATCTTTATTTTCCTGGAAAAAAGTATTTACTTCGGGATTTTTAGAAAAAAGATGTTTTTATCATCATGGGGACTTCACTTGAAAGAAAACATACTGTTTTAAGAAAAACCACTGTATTTATGCCCAGAAAGTACTCATAGTGAAAGATATGACCGTCTAAAATCACTTGCCATACTGCACATGGTCTTTTTTGTAAGCTTACTTACTGGATATGATTATGAATATTGTTTTGGCATCAATTTTCAAAAGTGCATTATGAACACGTTGAAACTGTGCTACATGTAATTGCTGAGGATGAAAAAGGAAAGAATGGCTTTAAAGTATTTGGTGTCATATTGTCAACAGTTGATGAGAAAAGTTAATTTTTAGGGGACATGTTAAAATAAAATTTTGTTCATGATGTTGATTTTTCAAGTGAATGCAAATCTAGAGGGTAGAGAGTAAACCATAACAAAAAAATTAACTTTTACTATAACTGTTACAAGTTGTACAGGATCCATAATATTGTACTCACCAAGTGGTACGCTGTGACTCCATGTTGTTTCTCCATATGCTGGCTTAGGGGGTACCTCTGGGAATACTTCACTCCGCAATGTGGACACACATGTTTCTTGATCCCAGCATGTGATTGTTCATGACGTTTCAGTGAAGACATTTGGGTAAATGTCTTGCCGCATGTTCCACATTTGAATGCTCGCTCCCCTAATAAGAATATGTACAATAATGAATACAATACAATACAATATAATACAATACAATCTGCAATTACTCAGATGTGAGTAGGTAGTTATCAGTTTCGCCACCAGGTGGCTGATTCGAGGAAAATAACATGGCAGGGTATTACAAAATTCCCTTAAACTTGAATATTCATCAGTTTTAGTGGTTCACTTTTCATATTACCCTTATGTATGTGATAGTTTTACAAATTAAAATATGTCCAGTGAAAGAAAATATTATCTGCCCAACACAAGAAAAGATATTTCACTTTTTGTGGTTTTACAACATGGGGTCTATGGGGAATCTCCCCAACCTAGAAGTCACATTTTCAAAGAAAATTAAATTTCAAAGTTGATAAACTCTTTTCAAAACCACATTTCTAGATCTAATTTTACATGTAGATTCCAAATATGACATCAGCTTGATGCCCAAAAAGTGAATTTTGAATTTTTTTATGACGTAAATCAAGATTATTTCTACTCGCATCTAGGATATTTGAGTAAAGAGTTCTTGTCACATGTCTAGGTTATAATCCTAATCATTCAGAATACATAAAACAAACATTGGGACAATGAATTTCAATGAAAACATCAATCCCACTTCATTATATAAGATAAATTAATTTAATGACATGAAATCAGATGCAGATAGTATAAAACCCTTATATTGGACAAAGTAAAGCTGAGGCCAATATTGAAAAAGGATCTCTAATTATGATGAGCACTTAATATAATTTGCATACCTGTATGAACCACTTGGTGCCTGGCATACAGATGTCCAAATAGAAAATGTGCCCCACACTGCTCACACGTGTAACTCTTCATTTTGTCACCATGGTAACGTTTGGTATGAGACCTCAACCTCCACTGACTTTTAAATGTCTTGTCACACTGGTCACATTTAAAGTCCCTTTCAGTTTTGTGTGACAATGAGTGAGACTTCAGCTCTGTAATAATGAATGTAGAATGATGTTAGGCAAAATAATATATTGAATAAGTTAGTCATATAGTAATACATGTACATACTGCTGACCATCAAATAAAACAATCAAGACCATTTTGAATATAACATGTAAAATTCAGAACACTTTTAAATGTCTGTACACATGTATTTAATTCAAGACTCAATCTATAAAATTATTAATATATCATTTCTTTGTATTAACTTCTACACCATGAATATATAACCCAAGGACAAATCATGAGGGGGTGCTTTAGGGTGCAAAAATGTAAAAAATATGTAATATGAACTTATTTTCTCATATACTAGTAGATAATATATTCAATAAACATTATACTACTACTTTAAAACAAATATAAGTAACATGCCGAAAAAGATACCCCAAAGAATAGCAAATCCCAATGAACAAAACATACTTTTTTCATGCTGATAGAACAATGTAAACGAGACAAAACAAACATGCATGACTTAGGATATACAACTCTAACTAACTCTAACAAGTATAATCATGCTCAAACAAAAATGCAAAAATACTCTAAAATATTTCCCAAAGTATATTCTAGATATCATACTTATATACCTCAGGGGGTTAGAATGAGATTATAAGGAAATACATGTAAGTGAATGTTAGCATTTGTCATTTCTGGAGGCCATGTTAGACAGTACTCTGAAGGCTAACTTACGATTGGGTGTCTTGAATCCTTTGCTGCATGTTTCACATATATGGCTTCTCTCCAACACTTCCATCTTATGCTTTTCCATGTGCATCCCTATCAACTTATGGGGGTAATCGTCATATTGATCAAATGTCAAAATCTCCCCGCATTTCTCACAGAGATATGGCTCTTTGATGCTCCTATCCCGTAGCAAGAGAATTCTGGCACATGCGAGGTAATGGTGTCTCAAAGCTTCTTTATCACTTACTTCAAGGTTGCATTTCAAGCATTTGAACCTATCGCATGTATTCATGTGCTCTTTTAGCTGTTTTGTGTTGAGGTGCTTGCTAAGACAGAAAACACACTGCAACCTGTCCATAGCGATTTTAGAGTCCTTTCTCATGCAAACCATCCGTATATGTGACCTAAATGACATCTGGGAGTGCTCCATCTCACAGTATGGACAGGCGTGGGTCTGAATACAAAACTTTAAATGGGCTTTTAATTTTACGTAATTCTCAAAATGTATTCCACATTTGTCACACATCATTTCCCTGGCGAGACATTTCTGTGAGTGTGTTCTCATTTTGGCAATGTCAGATGATGGACATTTGAATGTGCCACAGAAGTTGCAGCGCAACAACCAAGGCTGACATGTGTCACTGTGTTTCCTTAACGACTCTGCATTTAGGAAGATTCCGTTGCAGCCTTTACACACACAGGTTGGTCTCACAATCATGTCGTCAATCCACATCTTTTCAAATTGTTTCCTCTCTCTATTTTTACTCTCCACCTTTTCAGACAGTTCCTCATCTGTCATCATTGATTCGATTTGAACACTTTCTTTAATCTGTTTAACCTTTTTACTATTATTCTGTCTTTTTCCTACAGTTTCTGGCAGTTTTGTTTTTGTCATTATGAAATGAGATTTTAGATCTTTCTGAATCTGTTTGACCTTTTCTCTCTTATTATTCTGATTTTCTACCCTCTCTGGAAAATCACTCTTTGTCATCTGTTCAATCTTTTTTCTACTGCAACCTTTCTCTGTAGTTTTACTCTCAATTCTCTTTCTCTTCATCTTCTTTTTACTTCCTCTTTCCATGCTATCTTTATTGTTTTGCAAATAATCCAGAGGTTTATATTTAACGAAGCAAACACTGTTCATTATTTCCAGAGGGCCACTTGCTATAAACATCTCTTTACAAAGCCAACATCGTAGATTCCCTGGACATTTCTGCCTATGGTCCTTAAAACTATTTTCATCGTGAATGCCCTTGAAACACTTATCACATATCAGCTCATGAGCTTCCCTTCCAGTGGTTTCAATAATGTGCTGGTTGTCATTCACTTTGGAAGATAACTTTTTGGAATGGGCTTCTAGGATTCTGCAAACTCCAATATGGGAAATCATAACTGACACGTCTATTTTGCGGCATTTGAACTGATCACAGATAGGGCAGCGAATATATGCTACAGGGGCATGTATCATTTTGTAGTGTATGTTATAATTAGCCTTTGAACTGAATTTCTTCTTGCAGAATGTACATAAAACATGGCTCTTAAGTATGTTTTGGGAGGAAGCCTGTTTTTTTGTATTGAGTCCTATATCCTCCAAACTATTCATTTTTGGATATTGACTTTTCTGGTTGATGCATTTTGTCATGTGCTTTTCATAATCTTTGTACTTTACTGTTTCAAACTGGCATTTGAGACAGGTATAGTGCTTATTGAAAATGTCAGTGTTCTTTTCAATGCTATAACCCATACATTTCTTTTTGTGTACTTCGAAGGCATGTACTTCTTGTATGTGGGCATCACACCTGATACAGTTGTGTGCTTCTTCAAGGCAGTGCACTATGTGTGTGTAAAAATACTCAGCTGAGTCAACTATATCATCACATTTCTCACAGAAGTAATGTTTTGAAGCCTCCTCATCAGTTATCATCAAGTCAATTGGTCCATCCAACATCATTTCACAGTGTTCAGGTGAGATTTTGTTATCCTGGCAGAATGTTTTGAGTGAGCTGTTAACATTGACGCTTGTACATCTTTCACAGAATACTGAAACTGTCACATGGTTTGAAATAGTATTTAACTGAATAGCTTCCGGTGAGGTTTCCTTTGTCATGTTTTCACTAAGTTCATTTGTTTTGATGGCATTTGTAATGTTTGTTGTACTTACGGCTCCTTCGCTGGCCTTGCTCTGTATTTGTATGACATTTTGATTAGTATCAACCTGACCCTCTATGGAGCTGCCTGTATATGTGGTACCATGTTTGCCATTTTCAGTTTCATCTGCTTTCTGTTTGCCATTGTCGTCATAAGGCAGTGTGGTTGTTTGATCATCATTTATAACATCATTTTGTTGACTGGTTCTTCCTTTCATTCCATGTTTCTCCCCATTATTTGCTTTAGGTGTTTCTTTAATACTATCTATGCTCTGTCCCTCTATAATTGGGAATTTCTGATTAATTGGTGTGACATGTTCTTCAACTGGATTGTGGTTAATATCATTTGTACCATTTCCAGCACTAGAATCAGCAGCAAGGGCAGACGCAATAGTGACTTCTTTAGGAGTAGTATCAGTCTTTTCAGGGTTATACCTCCCATCCTTATCTTGCTCATTTTTCAGATTTTTAGAGCCTTCATCCAGGTCATTTAACTCATCTTTGGTTACAACCTCAGATTTTGACAAAATCTTTTTACATCCAATACACTGGTAGCTATATATGAACTCTGGCTCAAATGGAAGTTCTCCAAATTGTGTATCAGTCTCCTCCATATTTTCATCTTCATTTTCATGTTCATTATCTCCAGACTCCTCTATATTTTCATCTTCAATTTCATGTTTATCATCTTCAGACTCCTCACTACTTTTATCACTACTCTGCTCATCTCCATTCTCATATTCCTTTTCAATCACAAAGTCTTCATCATCATATGAGTCATTGAGTTCTTCATTATCTTCAGAGTCTCCCGGGCTATTAGTTTCAGTTGCATGATATGTTTTGATATGGGTCTCAAGTTTTGTCTGTCTGTCAAATGATGAGCTACACTCATTACACTTGTATCTTTTGTCAGTGTCTCTCCGCCTCTGTATGTTTATAGGTCTGTGAAGCCTGTCTTGGGCATCTTCCTCTCTCCCCTTCTGATTCTCTAAGTGCTCAACTGTTGAAACGCAATTTCTGAACTTCACCTTCAATAGAGAGTTATTCCTAGATTCTCCTTTCCCAAACTGGTCTGTTTTAACATATGGCTTGGAATGACTTTGGTTGTCATATTCATCAGCTGAACCCTCCTCTTTCATTTGATTACCAGAGGGCCATTCATCATCATGCTTGTTGCTTTCTTTTCCAGGATTAGCTCTACTTTGACTAAAACAATTAACATGAACAATTGAACATGCACATGCATGGGTAACGTCTAACAGACTGTGAGCTACATCCATTCATATCAGAATTAGCCAAGATGAAAGATGTATAGCCCATGTTATAATTAGGGGCCTCTTATCTATTGAATACTACATGTGTAATGACTATGTATAATTCTTGGACATACGTCCAGATAAGGGGGTACACATAAACATGCTCTCATGCAAGAAAATTCAATATGCATCTACAAACTGTATTGTCCTTATATGAACATGCATTGACATGCCACATTATAAAACATCAACATGCATTTTGCCATTCACATACATGCATGGCTATGCATTACAAAATTGAATGTTAGTTGTTACAACATGAAATTCAAAAAGGGATATAAAAACAAAAATATTTCCATGCTTTTGATAAAGTATAAATTATACATACATATTGTACAATATGCAGTGTAATTTACTTACATGTCACCATAGCCCATGTCTTCAAGTTCTTCCTTGATACAGACTGGACTATTTCTACCTGAGCTACGACTGAAATACATAATTGCAGATATTATGTTGAAGGTTGGGGTAAGAAATATCAAAAATATAAAAATAATAAATAGTTGGATAAATAAAAGAAGCATTTTTGGTTGAGCAAGGTACCATTATTTAGTTTGAAGAGACCTCACAAAAATATCAATTTCTTTATGTGCAGAATATAGTTCAGATGAAACACCAGTTTACAAAAACACACTTGATATATATAACATTACTTACAAATTCTTTACAAGAATACTATGAGGAATGGTGTAAAAATAAGTTTTATACTCACTTAGGACTAGTTGATGAGTTTGAAATACTGCAGCTAGCAGCTATAGCAGACTCTTGTTTTCCAGACCTTGTCAGTTGGGCACCAGTTCTGCTAACCACAAGTGGTGTTGAAGTAGAGCTTGTTGTCTTTAACATTTGATCTACAGACTCTGGTGTAAGATTCCTTATTTGGTCATCTTTGGTTCCATTGTCATCTCTCTTGTTGGGAAGTTCTTCATTTATTGGATGGCCAATAACATCAATGGGTCTTTTGCTGATTGGTGCAATATGAAGGTCAGAATGCTTTCTAAGTTGTTCACATTCTGGGAAAGTGGCACTACATAAAGGACACATATACCTTATCTTCTTGTCACTATGCTTTTCTTTGATGTGTTTCGTCAAAAAGGGTTCAGAGCGACAAACTTTAGAACAAAAGTAACACCTGAAGAGGTTCTCAGTCTGTGTGTGCTGCCAGTGAGTGTGTGCCACATGAACCAAGAGGGCATCACGGTTAGGGAACACTTTATTAGAGCAAGGACATCTGAAACAGTCCACATCCTTCCTACTTTTGGTGGCACTATTTTGATCATTTTCATTTTGGTTAAATGTTTCAGTATTATTATTGACTTGGTAATGTTTTTTATTCTCATTGTTGGTTTGCCTTGAGGTTAACTTAAGTGTTGTTTTATTCATATCTCTAGGCTTATGTGTGGACTCATAAGCAATATTGACTATGGGCTCATTCATGGTATCACAAGTTTTCTTGGTCAATGACTTTTTTATGGTTTTATTAGTTTTCTTAGCTGCGTGTTCATTATTACTCACTTCATTTACAGCATTGTTTGATTGAAGGACATGTGTGATACTGTCATCAGTTTCACTTGATATGTCTCCTTTGCTATTGTTAGGTTTTGTGCAAACTGTTGTGTTAATTGGGTTATCTTCAATAGCAGCCATGTTACTTATCCCTTTAAAGTCATTTGTGGTTGGGTGTTGTTCTGGTATGATATAAATTCCTTCTACCTCATCTAAATATGGAACATTGCACACATTTCTGAGTCCATCATCTTCATCATGTACTTCAAGGTCATCTTCTTGAGTAGAGACATAGGTGGAAGAAACAGCAATGGTATCGTTGTTGTTAATTGGAGCAGTGGTTTGTTCATCAGGATCATCACTTTTACATTCACCGGTCATATGTTCATTGTGGTCTTTGGTCTTATCAATAGAGTGATTGTTTTTCTCATCAGAATGTCTCTCTCTATCAATGGAATGTTTGGTATTTTCAATGGTGGAACATTTCTTGTCATCAAATGAATGTATATCATTATCAATGGAATCTTTAGAGTTGTCATTGTCATTGTTGATAGATGAATCTGTTTTGGAATTTTTATTAGATACCTTGATAGTGTTTGAATTCGCTTCAGGAAGATCAATCATTTTACTTTTCAAAGATGGGTTATCATCATTTTGTTTGTCTTTACCACATTGTTCATTATGCTTGGAAAATGTATTGAGTTTGTAAAACACCACTTTGCATGTTAAGCATTTAAATGGTGGTCTAGCGTGTGTAGGCATATGTTCTTCAATTTCTTCCTTGGTGTCAAAAATATTGTGACAGTACACACAGTCAAATCCAGTTATATCGGGCCTATGACACATTTGGTGCTTTCCACGGGTATAGTAATCTTTAAAAATTTTGCCACATTTTTCGCAGCCAAACTTTCCATTTTTCCTGTTGCTAGGCATCTTGACTGTAGTTTTGGTGTTATATCTGAAACCAGATAACAATTCTTTTTAGTAACACATAATAGCATATGTTATTGCTTCAAGAAATAATGTTTTGAAATGAGCTAACATGGACAAACTTCGTTGAAGATACATGTATATTTCCAGACACCTCTCCACTTTGAACAACTCTCAATGTGAACACTTTTTCAGGTCTCATTCTTAAGGTTATGTATGTTCAGAAATTATAATTTGAAGTTTTATTTAGTGCTGGCAAAAAATAATTGATACGTTGTGAATTTGGCATTATTTCTTAAATTTTAACATTTAATGTCACAAACTCTCCCAAACTGCTGAAAAACATACCCTGTAATTCATATTTTTGTCTTTAATTGCTTTATACTAGCACATGCATGATGCATCATTTCTCATAGTTCAAATTTTGATAAAATGTAGGAAAATCTCCGCCAGGTTAGTTTGAACTTACAGTCACACATATGCATGTGTGCTTTGTTTCTGTCTATTCCTTATTTTTGTTCCATGGAATTTGTGTTTCTAATAGTACAGATATGGCAGACCGAATGCAGAATTAGACGTAAAATGATTTTTGCCTCGTAATCTGCAGTTTACACATTGTAAAACATTATTACCAGGCCACTTTATTATTTCGTTCATTCAATTTTCCTCATGTAAACGAGACTGACATTTATTTATTGAGTTTAGACCAATCAGAATTGGTTTGTGTATTTGTCCTGGTGACTGGGTAACTGGGTGACCGGGTACTTAACGTTCCTAGCAGGGTTAGGAATTTTTTTTATTTATAACGTCTGATCTGGACGATACATGTGCGTTATTTTCGACATCACGTTTTGAGGTTATTTCACATCGTAAGAACGTTTTGACAACGTTAATTTTTAACATTAAAATAACGTCGGTAATGAACCGATTTAGTGAGAATATATTGACGTCTTTGTAACGTTTCCTTAACTCACAAATATATTGAAGCCATTTCCACAATGTTGAAAACTTGAAATTCAACCATCCATAGACGTTTTGCTGAATATTTAAATAACGTCAGATCAATACGGCCCATGAACGTCATTATTGATGTCACGTTTTGAGGTTATTTCAAATCGAAATAAACATTTCGACAACGTTAAATTTTAACGTTAACAATACGTCGGAAATGAACCGACTTAGTGAGAACACAAAGTTTTTGTCATGTTTTTTTCCACCAACAAATATTTTGATATTAAAAGCCTGTTTTGACAATGTTGAATTTTAACGTTTGAGTTACGTCACATATGGACCAATGTAGTAAAAAATCAAACGTTCCTGTTTGTTATGTTTTCCACACTAACGAACTTTACGGACACGTTACAACAACGTTCTTTTTATACCATCGTCTCATGTTTACGTTGCCTCGATGTGTAAAGAACGAAAATGTGCAACGTCTTCTAGGAACTTATATGCTACTTATGAGCAACGTGACATGGACGTCACTGTTTGCTGGATCGATTATTTTAAAAGGTGCTCTGTCTCGTATAGGTTAAAATATCGAACAGCAGTGCACTCGGCAGGCTAAGTCTGTCAAGTCAATTCGCTACTATATATCGGGGAAATGTGGAACTTTGAAAGTTGGTAACCCTGCTAGGAACGTTAGGTACCCGGTCGACCAGATACCCGGTTACCCGGTTTTTTACACAAACCCCAATCAGAATTTGTATAGCAACAACCAATCAAATCCATTACATTGATAAGTCTACATTTTACCTTTTTCCTTCCTAAACGCTTTACTTTCACATCAATTTCGAACTACTAGGACATATACACATCTACTTTCTGGTAACAAAGTAACACTCTCTTTAGTGGGGGGGGTGTATAGAGGGTCTTGGAAATGCATATACAATATTTTTTAGCTCTCTTATACCATATACAATATTTTTATACCATATACAATATTTTTCACAGCTCTTATACCATATACAATATTTTAGGTGAAATACAATATACGATAATTTTTTTGAAACTGCTTTTGATTTAAGTTTGGATATCTATAAGGAAATAATATTATATTAGGAGAGAATCCATGTACTAAAGTATATGTAATATTATAAGGCAAATAGACTCCACATACATACCACAATGATTTCATTTATTACATTATGAATAAGACACCATTCGGGTAAATCCGCATGTTCAGAAAAGCTGTGACCACATTTTATTTTCAGGTAAACAAGTTGATTTAAAACACATCTATGATGTAAGATTCATGACTTCTCTTTAGTGATTTCACAACCTACTTTGACAAAAAAACTAACTTTAACATTTCTGCAATTTGCTACAGCCACTAGCCCATTACCTGTAAAAGTACCATAAAGATATTCAAAATTAGCACAAAACCTGCATCATTGGAATGGGTGGAACTCAGTATTCCTCTTTGTTATGACCTACGTACTTTCCCATGACTTATTTTAATGTCAATGGAATCCTTCAAAGTGAGCCAGGGAAAAAATCCTTGAAACATAATTGATGCAAAATTGAGAATGTGGAATAAAAGATTCATCATGTGTTCTATGAAAATAAAGTTTGCTGAGGAAAATATGTATCAGATAGATAATGAAGATTCACAATGCACAATAATTTTGTAAAGCAGTTACCTGGAAAATATTAAGTATTGAAAACAGTTTCAGAAATAAAGGACTTCACAAACTTCCATGTAGATAAATTTTTTTTTTGATTGGACTCGAGTCTGGAAACTAGAGTTTGAAATAAAGGCAAGGTGAGACTTGATTGTTTAAACATTTGAAACAAGAGACACTTCGGGGTTTCAGATAAGGCAGCCTCAAAGACAGAATAAGTTAAACAAAGGTGTGTCAAAATTAAGCAAATTTCCATAAAGGTCAAACCCCATGTTTCACGAATGATTTCAAGGCAAAGATGTATTGATGAGAATGAAAACTACTCTATGTAACTAGAAATAACTTTCTTTTAAAAGACCACGGACGTTATCGCAACAGATTTCAGTCATATATTGGATTTTGGCTATTTTCTGAGGATTTGAACAGGTGCATATGTTAGGCCGATGTATTAACTCCAGGACAAGCAGTCATAGAGATTATAAAATAATTTGGACTTTAAGACAGGGAAGGTGCATGGTGCAAACACCCCATCAACATGTTTTTTTCTGTAATGCTGTCCTGATTTCCAGCCCTTTCCACACCTGTCTATCATTGTTTGTTGCATTGATCACTCTGTTGCGTTTTGAGACATAGTTAACATCTTTAAATGAAAATATGATTCATGCAGGGGTTTTAAAGATATCAATTTTGGATGACCAAAATTAAGCTGAAAACAATGGATCACATGAGTTTTCCCTATGGGAAAATAACATGGGAAATACATGTACTGTTTTCCGCTTTATCCCAAATAAATCATATTTTAGAGGTTAACTGTGTCTCAAAGTGCAACATATTGGTGCATCAAACATTGAAAAAACATATGTGGAAAGGGCTGAAAATCAGGACAACATTTCAGAAAAACCTTCCCTGTCTCAAAGTCCAAATTATTTTATTACCTCTATGAGTGCTGGAGTTAATGCATTGGCCTAACATATGCACCTGTTCAAATCCCCAATAAATAGCCGAAATCCAACATATGACAGTTTGAAGACCAAATAAACACCTTTTGCTATATTATGCTATATAAGCATTGTGATGCTTGCATTAAAACATGCGCTGTATGAACACTTTACAACTTTTTGAACACTCAAATATTTTAATGATTTATCCCACATACCCCGAAACACGAGTAGCCATAGTGACCATATTTTTCATCAAAAATAAGATGAGTCAATGACATTTGGCAGTCTCACGCCTGGTGATCTGATGAAATGAACGGAGGGGGCCAAATTCAACAAATGTTGAAGATTTATTTTTTCAAGAAAAAGTTAACAATTGAATGGCTAAAAAACGGAGGGGGGAGTAATATGTCTTTAAAGTGGAAGAAATTTCCACAAATTCGTGTACTTGAAAAATGACCTCACTTACTCAGTAACTTGATGTTACAACTCTGAAAAGTGAAAAATGGGGACATATGGAGTTATTGGAAGTTTTCATATGTCTTATAGACACATTACTCACTTTTTATATAACACGTATGGTAACGTGTTTTACAAAACCAATGATGACAATAGTTTTGTGATAATTACTTCACTTACAAGTATTTATTACAGGTCGTGTAGACCCCTGTTGGTTGATTTATAGCAAAAACATTGGCATTTGCACGTTGGCGATGCTGCACTTTTTAATAGATCTTTTATTTTAGATTTCCACAGTTCAAAGAAAATCCAAGAAGACCTAACATATTCCCCCGTCCACTGCGTCTATTCATTTAGCCATTCAATTGTAAACTTTCTCTTGAAAAAATAAATCTTCAAGATTTGTTGAATTTTCTTCCGAAAATCAGCTAGATCTACTCCCCCTCCATTCATTTCTTCTGATCACCGGCCGTGATTCTTATTTGAGACTATATTTAACACCTCCTGTGAAAATTTGAATGAAAAGGGCACAAAACTCTTAGTTTGAGAGGGATTTTCTCTAAACTTACAGTATTGATTGACCTGGAATGTGGAACCAATTAGAGAGACTACTTTTCCATGTTTTTCCAACACGGTTACAGTAAGAGAGTTGGCACAATGGGGAACTTTAGGGTACAATTTCTTCATAATTACCCTTCTTTAATTCTAGATGCCATATACCATATATTTTCTATTATACCATATACCATATTTTTTACACCTCTTATACCATATACGATAAATTTTGCCCCCTCTTATACAATATACAATAAATTTTCAGCCTCTTATACGATATACAATATCTCTATACACCCCCCCCCTTTAGTTTGCAAAGCAACAGATTTTTTATTATTGCCAGTCACTTTTTAATTCACCCCTCATGAGAATGATAGAAATCCAATACAACACTGCTTTTTATACACTGTGAATGCGAAAGTGAGTTTCCAAATTTTCCAAAAATATAAGTTCTTGTTCAGTAGTCGATATATTTGGGAAATTGGAACATTCTAATTTTTTCGATTATTCAATTCACTGAAATTCGACACCATCAGACATCTGACTTACCCTCTTAGGACTTGTTCTTCATGCATGTATTATCAAATTTTCAAATTCTGTGTTGTAAATCATTTTTTAGCTTGGAAAGATACTTTTATTGACGTTTTTAAAGATATTTTAAAGTTTTTCGAACTTTGGTCAAAAATGGCGACCGCGAATTGCGCATGCGCAATTAAAGTGTAAACAAATGCACGTGGCTTTTAACCCTTTTAGACCATCAAGTTTTTTAACCGAATATTTAAAACTTCGGAAAAGAGAAATGATCTGCGACTTTCGGTTGTATCAAGTCTCTTTCATTCATGGAGTCACATTTTGTTAGATATTTCACTCCTGCCTAGTTGTGCTGTATGTATTCTGGGTGTGTACCCTTTCTTCCCCCCCCAACAAAATAGACTAATTGATTTGTGATGTTTTCATTTACATTTTTTTATGGGAGTCACCATTAACTTATTTGGGTAATAGACATTCTGATACTCATATCATCTTTCTTTTTCATCTTCAGGGCTGAGAAGAAATGAGATGTCATTGTTTATCATGATGGGTAATGGTAATAGACTCAACAGAGAACTTAATATGAAATAATTGAGATGTAATCTTAAAATAAGGGATAAATTGAGATCATTATAACAATCAATACCACAAAAGGTTCAATAAAAATAATTTCATAAATTACTCCTGTGGTGAAAGCCACCCTTTCCCTCATACCATTCTCAGACACTGAAAAGTCTAACATGATTTTTTTTCTTTTAGTTGTAAAAGGGCTGCCTTTGGACTCCATCTCAACATCTATGTGTTCTTATAAGACAACAAAGATTCCAACCAATCAGTTTTCTTGAAATGCATCTAGAAATAATTACAAAACAACATATTTTGTGTAATAAATACTATAAAAGTTTATTGTTTTTGTTTTTAATACATGTGTAAATATACTGTATAATTATATAATAATACAATCACAACGATGCCAGCAACTCTATGTTATAATAATATTTACTATTTACACATAAAATACCTGTACTGGTTTTAAATGCTGTTATATGGTACATGTTCTTTGCCAATTGCAAACAATAAGGGAATTAGAATTCTAAAAGAGAGTGAATACAGAATTATAAAAAAAATTATCTCTAAAAGCTGTTCTCTAGCAGATTTTCCTTCACATGTATATATTGCTTAGTAACAGTATTTTCCAAAATAAAATTCATATTGTCCAAACTTATTTATCCAAAATAATTTTGAATTTACAATTAATCAATAAATGTATTGTATTATTTATACAGTTTATCATGTTAATTAGTATATTTGTTGTCAAGTAAACTGCAATCGTGGTAACCATTAGGACATTGTACTTCAAATTATTACACTACAAATCATGGTACTCTTTAATATTGTTGAAAGCTATTAATATTAAACTTATTACAGGCCCGTAGCCCCCCCCCCCCCCCCCCGGCTAAAAATTCTTTCAAAATCATGCAGTTTTTCACCATTCTGAGCACTTTTTAAGTGATTTTGGCCATTTTTGGACCAATATTGTCAAAAGTGAACCCCGCTGGAATTTTCCAAAAAAGTGAACCCCCCTTGGTAAATCCTGGCTACGGTCCTGTATTATAACAAGTACATTTAGGTGCTGAGAATTTTTTCAGTGATAACTTATGTTAATCTAAATATCTAAAAATTGAACATCCCCAGAAGTGCATAATGGAAGAACTGCCACATGTCTTGAAAATAATATAAATAAATATACATAATCTCTCTTATTATTATATATATACATGCACTTTAATTCAGTATAATTATGAGGTAAGTGAAAGTACATAAAATTTCAAGCAAAGGACGATTGCGGATAAGATGTCTAAAATTCCCAAAAATTAAAAAAGTAAGAGCCTGCTACATGTATGTGTACAACTAACAGACTATATACATTCTTAATAAAAACATAAAAAACAAAAGGTTGAAAAGATTGCAATTATTTTCATGCTCTAATATTTATGGAAAAGTAAGTTTGTAAGTCTATTCACTTTACTTAAGCAGCTCTCTTATAATATAATGCCATACAAAAATTAACATATATATAAGAGAATGTGCAAGTATCCCATTCTACATTTTAGTTCTACCGGTGTTAAGCGTTGTGATTGGCTCAGATTTTAAAAAATGGGAGACAACAGAAATAAAAAGGTACACCTTTCTTTAAATTCTTGATAAGAGCATCTCATTTAATACAATAATTAAACTGTACAATCAATTTAAGAATTCAATTAAGTTTCAATCCAAAACAAAATAAAACTGCAACATTGAGCTAATGTATGAAATGCTAACAATTTACAATATGTACAGTGACTTTATCGTGCAAAGTTATGAACATCTGAAGCTGATCAAATTCTACATGAGAATAAACAAGCAATGAGAGATTCTCACATTTCTATACAACTTAGCTTTTAAACTAAACAACATATTTAAACATTCCTATTATTCATTCAAATATGTCTAAGTATTTCATTCACAGCAATAGATTAGAATACTGCAATCTTATGTTGCAATAACCATTTTGGATGAGTGTAGGTCTTCTGAATCATGCAGAAGGTCAAAGGTCATATGTAATGCCTTTCAAGAGTGTGGGTCAAATTATCCCATGAATTGGATGCAATCTGTCTCCCTTCAATCATACTTAGCATTGTTATTACACTTGATTTCTTCATATCTTCTTTATTGATGGGTCCACTCTTTTCTTCTCTATTGTTCCAAAATTCCAAAATACTAGTTGTATGACATATCATGTTGAGTCTACTTCATTTTCTCTAAATTTTGAATGAGGTGACCAATTTTCTTGGATTTCCATACGATTTAGGGTGTTCCATTCTTTTCCTTGTCAATTCCATTCTTTTCCATTCTATTTCCTCTTAAAACATGACCAATGACAAGCACAAAGTATTTCCAATTAGAGGGTTGATCATAAATGTTGCTGAAGAAAACTGAGCACCATTGTTTCATAATGTTCACTAGCCTCAGGGTTCCTGATGCCATGTCTTTCATTTGGGTACACCTGCAATATTTAAATTATATTATTCTATTGTTTCATAATATTCACTAGCCTCAGGGTTCCTAATGCCATGTCTTTCATTAGGGTACACCTGCAATATTTAAATTATATTATTATATTGTTTCATAATGTTCACTAGCCTCAGGGTTCCTGATGCCATGTCTTTCATTTGGGTACACCTGCAATATTCAAGCAATATTTATACATTTACAGATGTACATTTTATATTGTTTGTTTACAATCTCAAGAATCTCACTACCTTGTCAAGGTATTAATTTTCAGAGTTCATGGTTAGTCTAAATCTAATATATAAATATGAGAAATAGGGGTTCTGACTTTTTAACTAAGCTGTCTATTTCACTGGATTTACACCTGTGATCTACCATTTTCCAAGAACATGTTTTTCACTCATCAGGAGAGCACAGAGAAAGTTCAACTGCAAATGGTTAATGAAAAGATTGTGCTAGAGCTTCTGGTAAATTATACAAATGCCAAAAGAATCTTGGGTCAAGCATGTAAAAGAATAAAATACTTTTACAATTTTACTAACCTGAAGTGTATATGGCTTGCAGGCTTTCACCAGTGCATTGACAAAACTGCTAGTGTGGAGGAAGTGGACGTTTTCATCTATAAGGCCATGGACTATCAACAACCTGTTCTCCCTTGAAGATTTAAATAAAAAACAATAAATACAGGGACAGTGTTTAAATATTCTAATTTGAATTGTTAAATCTTCACTCAATGTATACACACGTCTGTAAGAACATATAATCTTTCAAACATTAAAACCATACTTTGAAGCATAATGTCAGAACTTCAATATAAGGCATAGACAATTTTTCAAATTTTTATATTTTGACTTATCAGGTAAATATTGTATTTGTAAAAAAATGAAAAATCTTTAGATATTGCAAAATACTACAACTTACTCATTTGGGAATTTGTCTACATACTCCAGTACAGAGCCAGCCTTGTAAGGTTCGCTATTAGTCTGGGGGGTCCCCATGTATCTCTCAGTGTAGCCAGTGTCATAGAGAGCCCAAGACGTCACAGGAGCACCCGCTATTGCGAGCTGTAATTAAATGTATATTATTGAGTGAAATAAATTGTAGGTAGCCCAAGCTGAAACAGTGATTTTGCTAATCTACTTGGAGGTTTTACAGGCTGGCAATTGTACACGGATACAATTGTCAACAATTCCAAAACTAGTTTAACAGCTCTACCCCAATTTACAAATACAAAGTCAAAAATCAAAATGGCTAATCTAAATAATGTAAGAAGCAAATATTTTCCCAATCCATGTACTGTACCTTAAATATGTCTGGCCGCTGACTAAGCCCCATCAAGGCCAGATAGCCGCCATATGACCAGCCATGTATTGCAACCCTCCCAATGTCAATGTAGCCAACCTGGGAAGCAATCCAATGTAATCCTTCAACCTGATCAGCTATTTCTACAGTGCCCTGTAATTAAAGATAATCATTATTTGTTTATTACATCTTATATTTACCATTTCTCGAGATGGTATAAGGTGCATAAAATTACTTTGGAGAAACATTTTTTCAGAAATTGAAATATGACATTACATCTTATATTAACCATTTCTTGATACTGTTAAAGGTGCATAAATCTACTTTGGAGAAACACTTTTTCATAAATTAAAACATTCATTCATTCATACATAATTACAGCATATTACAGCATTCATTCATTCATGCATAACCCAACGTATGAATGAAAACCTGTAAATGAATGAAAAATCTGTAAAAAGTTAATAATCTTATAAGGCAAATTTCCTTATTTTCTATTTCTATCAATCATTGGTCGCAGAGAAAAGGGTTACCATTTTATCTTTCAAATGACTTTCAAATGTTACTCCTCTATTAGAGGAGCCCCTGCAATCTAAGACCACTACAGCATATCCCAGGGAGGCAAACATATGAAGCCTTAGAAACCTGAAACACAGAATAAATGATATTAATTGTACACGAAGACACAATGACATATTATATGAACAATGAGTGGACTTTATGCATGAAAACACAAGGAATTATTTCTATATTAAGTACACAAACTATCATATGTATATTATACTAGAATGAGACACAAACCTAAGTCCTTTATATGAGTTGGTGACCAGTTGTGTGTGTGGGCCACCATAGACATATAATACTGTAGGGTACTTCTCACCTGGAATAGAATTACACAAAGTATTATATATGGGCTGTTCAAAAAGTAATGGACACTTTTGGGATAATGCATTATTACGCGAAATAGATTATAGAGTAAAACTTGTATATCTGAATACCTCTCTATTAGTGTTAACACTTGATTTGTTATCTCCCATTGATTCACCTTGAAATGTGAACACCTGCAAAACACCTTGAAATGTGAACACCTGCAAAACACCTTGAAATGTGAACACCTGTTTAACACCTTGAAATGTGAACACCTGTTAAACACCTTGAAATGTGAACACCTGTTTAACACCTTGAAATGTGAACACCTTTTAAACACCTTGAAATGTGAACATGTGCTAATCTCAACATGTTTGACAAGTCCCAGTGTTGTTTGGTTTAGACAGGTTTTACTGTACACAGAATTTGATATATAAGTACCTGGTATATAATTGTGTGGTTTGTAGACCATGCCATAGAAAGTATCTCCACTCTTACTGGGGCAACTAAACAGTTCACCAGGCTTGTAACCATTACTATCTTCTAAAACAAAAAAACATATCAACTCGTGACTATGTGTGGCTTATTTTTTATAAAAGAAGTTTGACCATTTCATCAAGTTATTCATTCCATTCTAGACTCTTATTTCCCATATTCCTTATTAGACCCATTTCCTCTTATTCCATCCTAGACCCATATTTCCCATATCCCTTATTAGACCCATTTCCTCTTATTCCATACTAGACCCATATCCCTTATTAGACCCATTTCCTCTTATTCCATACTAGACCAATATTTCCCATATCCCTTATTAGACACATTTCCCCTTATTCCATACTAGACCCATATTTCCCATATCCCTTATTAGACCCATTTCCCCTTATTCCATACTAGACCTATGATACCTTGCTATAAAGGGAAACTTACCTGGAAGATCTAGCAAACTTGACACTGGACTTGCTATGTGGTTGGCATCTCTCACTTCAATCTTCAGTATGTGACAACGGGGGCCCTCTGCTATACTACTGAATACACTGGTGTAAGATGTACAATGCTGAAACACAAGATGGCATTATGTAAGGATTATATGCCTTTAATTCTAGAGCAACGCTGAAACCTAGTTGAGTAAGATATAGTAGTTACCTGATCTACGCAGACATAATGAGAAACCTAGTTGAGTAAGATATAGTAGTTACCTGATCTATGCAGACATAATGAGAGAAACCTAGTTGAGTAAGATATAGTAGTTACCTGATCTAGGCAGACATTATGAGAGAAACCTAGTTGAGTAAGACGAGTTATTGCACTTCCTGGACATTCAAGATCCAATACATATCTGAAATGGACATCAATTTTATTTTCATTTTCAAGGATGAATATTATTGTTCATTGTGAGGGAAACTGAACATAAAATGTAACCAGCATTAAAATATACCAGCTTGTCTGCCTTATAACTAATTTTAAGATTTTCTGTTGGGATCCTTGTAGATATGCTCCAGGGAACTTAAGACAGTCATATTAAAATTAAAAATACTTTACTGATAAAAATCTAATATTAGTATAATATAACACATAATCAAAATATTATCAAAATACATTGTTCAAATTCTGTACACTCATAATGATTTCAAGTTTCACAGTGAAACAGTATACAATTATTGACCTCTGGAGAGGTCAACCATCAAAATGCAGAGACTGTAAACCTGGAAACTACTGTTGAAAGAGACCAAAGGTTGAGGTCAACAGTAGTTTCAAAGTTTACTGTCAAGGTATATGATTTGTCGGTTGACCAAATGTAGAGGTCTACAATTGTTTTGTCAGAAGAAACTAATTATACAAGTTGTAACCAATTGAAAATTCTACTTACAAATGTGACTCAAGTGGTGTATCTTTTGTTCCAGTAAAATATAACAGATTCTTTTTATCATCAACCCAGATCTGGAAAATACAATAATAGAAATATCAGTTCTGATTGATGAGTTTACAACACAAAGTTCTACAGTGACAGAACTATATTTTTCTTAAAAACAACTAAGTTCAGCAGAAAAGGTGTGCAAATAATATTGTTTGCAAGGGAAACACTGACACGCTTTTTGAAATCATTGCTTCCAACATTTTACGCTCTGTTCTTTTGCCACTTAATCAGCATTTAAAATGTGTCCATCTTTTTGATTCTATTAATGATGATGTTGAGCTCTGAAATCATGTAAGTTTGTCTCACTTTTCAACTCAAACTATATGTAGGTAGTAGTTTCTTAATCATCCTAACAAAAGATTTGTCATGGATTTTGAAGAGGCAGTTTTATAATTATTGGATGCATATGTTTTGGCAATTATCAAATGACATTTGACTTCGAATGACCTTTACAGAAAATCAGATGACCTCTTTGAAGTCTTAGTACTAGACATGCACCATGTGAAAAGTGAAACAATGAAGTGAAACAATGAAGCAACGGTTAAATATACATGTACTTTGGAAATATGTATCATAAAATAAATCCCATACTTCTCTACATTAACCCACCCTATCATCAAAGGTACACATGTTTTGGGAAATTTTACACAGCATAAGGATATAAGCCAACCAACCCTACTATCACACCAAACTAGTTCTCACTACGTTCTCGAAAATGGGCTTAAACTGTGCACAAACAGATTTAACGTACTAAGAACCCACTAAGAACCATTTGGGATATGTTTACAAACTTCATGAAACTACTCGAAGGAGTAGGTCCTCCAGAACTTAGAGCATGCTCAAAATTTTCTGGTGATCGTCACGTTCTGCAATCAGAACGAGTGACAACGTACTTAAGACGACCTGGACGCAATGGGGACACACTACAAACGGAAGTGTCGTACTTCAATCCTACTAGGGACGTATTACAACGTTGTGTAGTCAGGCGTAAATTGCAGCCATGAGTACTCCAATCTAGTCCTTATGAGCTTGTTCATTCTGTTCGTAGACAGACCCAACTCGACCGAATAACGTCCTTCCCATTTATAAAGGTTCACAGAAGGTTCTCATAAAGTTCTAAGAACGTCCGTGTACTTCTCACAGTCATTAATACGTTGATAATTCAGTAACATATTAGGACGTATTGAGAACGAGGTACAACTAATTGTCAACTGGTTTAAACTGATTAAGGATGTAATTGAACTGCTTGGATACGTGGTGTAGACGAGACGAACGCACAATTTAACCCGATCTAAACTTGATACCAACGTACTGCAGACGGAATAAAGACGAGATGAACGTATTAAAAACTGCTTATGAACGAATTAACAAAAATAGCTATCATACCAGAACCAGTTGTCACTGCATTCTTCAAAACGTTGCTGAATCAGTTTTAAACTGTGTGCGAACTGAATGAACGTACCTACAAGGTTCTACGGTCTGTTTACGAACTTCATGGACTTTCCCGGACAGGGAATGTGATTTAGAATTTTGAATAGATTCAAAATTCGATGGCAACCATACCGTTCTGTAATCAGGTCATGATGACCTTCTAGTCTAAGGGACGCGTTATACGACATTGCACACCGACGTGGTGCGACCTGAACGAACTGCGAATGAGATGGACGTATGGCCACGTATTGAAGACTGTTTATGAACGAAGTAACTAATTATTTTAGACATATTTCCCGACCACAGCCAGATTGAGCCCGTTTTACGATGTTTTCGTAGGACTGGCAAGAATGGGTAAGAACTAGTTTGGTGTGATAGGGGGGTAATAATTAATATTATTGAGATATATTCCAATCTTTCATCAAAACTAGTAATCTATCTGGTTGAGTGGAAGCAGCCAACATAAAATGCTAAATACCTGTATATTGATCGTTTGACCTTGACTGATTCTTGAATTGAGGTGAACTTGTCCAAAAGCCTTGAAACCCCAAATACCTAGATATTGAGCTTGTACCTTGAGATGACCCTGTCCCATAAACACTGACTTTGGTCTCGGGTCACCTAATCATGCATGGCTAAGGATCACAGTATTCTTAAAGTGCCTTACAACACCTAATACTTAGATATTGACCTTGACCAATGTAATGCTGACCTTGACCTCAGGCCACCTAATCATTGGTCGCCAAGGGTCACTGCAGCCCAAAGGACCAAATACCTAGAACATCTGTAGAACCAAATACCTAGAAATTGACCTTTGACCTAGGAATGACCATGACCCCAGGTCACATAGTCCGAAGTTGCCAAGGTTCACAACAGTCCCCAAATGCATTAAAATGCCAAATACCAAGATACTGACCTTTGACCTTGGACAGACCAGGACCTAAGGCCACCTAATCATGGGACATCAAGGGTCACAGCACAGACCAAGGGTCTTAAAAAGCGAATAACCTATATATTGAATTTTTACCTTGGAATGACCTTGACCTCTGACCTTCATATAATGCCCAATGATGACCCACCATGCTTTATAGTAAGATAACTTGAAATATTTGTAGATATGATGGAGTGATTACCTTGACAACTTTGTATCCTCCGTGAGCAGACCTAATCTTTAAAGTAGACATTCCCACCTTTCAAATGGTATATTGAAACCCAAGACATCTTGCAAATGAACGGAATGCCCAAAGAACGGATTTCTCCTTACATACTGTACATGCATTACTGCTTATTTATTAACAGAAATGTTTGATGCAAAACATATCTAAGCAAATATAAATAATTAAACAGATATAAATTGTATTGTTTAAATGTTACAGAAGCCATCGAGGTACATTGAGACATGCATTACATTGTGTTTAAATAAAGTAATGTCACGACACTGTATAATATCGTCATCTTCGTGATTGTGTTAATAAACATAAATACATTGAGGCATGTTGTGATGTTTGTTGTGTAAAGATCATCGGCCAGGATAGAATCCAGGTACAATTAAGGTGCAACACAAGCATTTGGTCAGGTACGCCAATCATAATATCACTAGTTGTTAAGGGTAAGCCTCCTGGTTGCTTCAAGTATCTTTCTATGATACGAGACATAATTTCAGCAGACAACATCATGGGAAGTAAGTGACTATTTCTATTGTTCAATCATCAAAGATATGTCATTATTTACTTTGTGCTGTCAGAATCACAACAGTTTAGGCCAAAAATAATTATTTGAGAAATAAAAAGCTGTATATTGTAGATATTATGAGAGCTTTATGATCAGATCAATCCTTGTATAACATTAAAATTTGAATTTTGCTTTCCAAAACATGGACATGGCAAGATACGTGAATTGTTCAAAGAATTCTAAAAATGAGGATCTTATTTTGAGACACTGTTTCTTGATTTCTCTGACCCACCTTTTAAATCATGTTCAACTGCAAGGGAAGAGTCATCCATTAACCACATTTAAATTGCTATTACAACAAAGGACAGAAACAAAACAAATATCAGTTTCTGGTAGGATGTTATATTACATCAAGATATATTAAGGAATATTAAGGAATGAGTTTATTTATCACATCATGTATAGTATTCAGATTATGTGTAGTATTCAGATGATGTGTAGTATTCAGATTATGTGTAGTATTCAGATAATGTATAGTATTCAGATGATGTTTAATATTCAGATTATGTGTAGTATTCAGATTATGTGTAGTATTCAGATGGTGTGTAGTATTCAAATGATATGTAGTCTTCAGATTATGTGTTGTAGTCAGATGATGTGTAGTATTCAGATGATGTAAAGTATTCAGACGATGTGTAGTATTCAGATTATGTGTTGTATTCAGATGATGTGTAGTATTCAGATGATGTGTAGTATTCAGATGATGTGTAGTATCCCGATGATGTGTACTATTCAGATTATGTGTAGCATTCAGATTATGTGTAGTATTCAGATTATGTGTAGTATTCAGATGATGTATAGTATTTAGATGATGTGTAGTATTCAGATGATGTGTGGTATTCAGATGATGTGTAGTATTCAGATTATGTGTAGTATTCAGATTATATATAGCATTCAGATTCAGATTACGTGTAGTATTCAGATGTATAATATTCAGATGATGTGTAGTCTTCAGATGATGTGTGGTATTCAGATGATGTGTAGTATTCAGATTATGTGTAGTATTCAGAATATATATAGCATTCAGATTCAGATTACGTGTAGTATTCAGATGTATAATATTCAGATGATGTGTAGTCTTCAGATGATGTGTAGTATTCAGATGATGTGTGGTATTCAGATTATGTGTAGTATTCAGATTATGTGCAGCATTCAGATTCAGATGATGTGTATTCAGATGATGTGTAGTATTCAGATGATGTGTAGTATTCAGATAATGTGTAGTATTCAGATTCAGATTTAGGTAAACTATAAGTATGTCTTATCTCATATCTTTTCTTCAGGTGTGGCTGTTACTGCATTCCTTGTAACAATATTTCTCTTTGAGAAGCTTGTATGCGGCAAAAATAAGATGGTGAAGGTCAATTATATGAAGAAATATAAAGTCAGTCACTACTTCGACAGAGTCAATGTATTTTCGATAGAAAGGCACATTGAACGTATGGAGAAGCTTGTGAACCATTATACTGCAACCACGCCAATGACCTCAAAAGACAAGCGGATTTTGAAGGGAACAATAAAAGGGATGAAAAAAGTTAAGAAGCTCTTACATAAGTTCTCACCTCATATTAAAGAAATTTATCAAATGAAGGTTGATATTAGATTAGTGCTTGGAAATGTATGTTGGATTTCTACATGGGAAGGATGAAATGTTCAAAAACGCACATTCCTGTTTAACTGACACAATTTGAAACTTTATCCATCTCAACTATGTTAGAAATCAAAATACTCTACAAATATACCAATCTTACAGACATCTACCGTAAACAACTATTACTTTTCATCAAGAAAAATCACAGACTTGCAACAGAAGAAATCATAATAAAGGCAAATATTGACGTATTTTCCATGTATTTGAAAAAGCTCATCAAGGAGGCACAAATGATAAGAAAGCAGATTCAGCTATTAAAGATTCCTGATAAAGATGGTAAGTAACTATATATAGTAATAAGTTTATCAATGTTTTACACATACATGTTCCATGGGCTTTCAACTGCCCATGCATGTTCATATAAAAAACTTTTCATAGGGGATGCAAAAATCACTTTTACAATTGTGCCTAATAAATGGGATAAATAAATCTTCATGGGTTTCTCATCTGAAAAGGAAGTTCAACCAACACTATGGGTCTATATAGAAATATACAGTTTAACCAACACTAGGTGCTAGGGGTCTATATGAGAAATATACAGTATAGATGACACTAGGGGTCTATATGAAAGTATTTCATACCTAGCGAAGCATTTGTATGGAAGTCAATGGACCTGAAGGTCCACTATATATTCCTGTATAGCCGCCAAACTTTTTTACCTTGACAATATTATGATGTCATAACATGTATACAAAGTGATTTCGACTGGAATTGTGTAAAAAAATTTTTTTCACACATTGCTACATATTATTTTCATGAAATATTATGTAAATGTTCTTCAGGTATGTTATACAATTATGTCCGTATCATTGAATATATGCCTTCGGTCTGTCATAATATACTAAATACTATATGCTAAATATACAATTTAACTGACACTAGGGGTCTATATGAAAATATAAATCTAACAGAAAAACGATACAATATTTGAAATCTATTCTAAACTGTGTTTCATTTGAGTATAATTAAGCTTTACTTATACCCAACCCCCCATATATGGCCCTAGGAGCTAGGATGAAAAACAAGGAATTTATATGAATAGATAGATGTTGTGATACTATCAAAATTTCAAACAAAAATATCTATAACTTTAACTTCAAATGAAAAACCTAAGATAATGGTAGATATCAGTTAAATTTACTATTAACAAAGTTGTTGATTTTCTTTCTCAGATATATTTATTTTTCTTTTGACGTTTCGTAGGATGTCCATCGGTTAAATTATTTTATTTTCAGAGCCCTTTAGCTGTGTCAGAGATTCCAAAGGAGTTAACATTATACAGACAGAAGATGGAACCAGATTCCTTGCAGTGTGTGACTCAGAATGGTTGGTTGTGGCACAGAGGTTTGACGGCAGCGTAGACTTCCCTTCGTTTAACTACACTTTTGTATATCGTGCAGACCCTAACAGATTTAAGTTCAGAGATTATATTGATAGTGAAAGTGTATATGGTGAAGGATTCGGTGATCCACCCTCGGAGTATTTCATAGGAATGAATAATTTGCACGCAGTTGCTAGCCAGGCCATGTATGAGATACGCTTTGAACTGACCACATGGGAAGGGGACACTAGAAATGCGTATTACTCTATTTTTGATGTGACAGATGTTCACTGGGGTCTACCAAGGTACAAGTTAAGATTAGACCACTATAGAGGAAACGCTGGGGATTTTAAGAGTTATGACTCTGGCAACAAGTTTAAATGTGGTTGGAGAACAGAACATCATTTTTGGTGGTTTGGAAACTGGAAGAATACGAGCCACAAATACATTGATAAAAAGATAGAGTGTGCAAAAGCTAATTTGTTTGGCCGCTACAATAACGGCCCTAAATGTGACATTGAGATGGAGTGTATGACATGGCCAGCCTGGCCTGATCAAGGTAATAAGTACTACTCATTTAAAAAGATGAGAATAATGATACGACCACTGCGTTCCATACCTCCCTGTATTGATGGATTGAGCAAGGACACTGGTGACAACACCATTGTGAAATGTGAAGGAGCTTGGCTTGTTGTTGCACATAAGATTGATGGAAATGTTCATTTCAATCGCACAGTGGCTGAGTATATAGATGGATTTGAAAGCACATCTGGGGAGTTTTTCACAGGTCTTCGTCCGTTGTATGAGCTCACAGAAAGATTTAGATGGTATACTGTAAGGTTTGAGGCCACAACAATAGATGGAAAAGTACCTTATGTGGAGTACAGCGCAATTAGGATTCGGGAGACTCACTATTTCTATTATATGCAGGTGAAAGACTTTCCCTATCATGACGATGTTGATTGGCAACGTTTAGATTGTTCTAATCCCTGGTTTCGTAGTTTATTCGCAACCTGGGGTCATGAAACAAAATGCATTTTCTCCATCTGGTATTGTGGTTGTATGCTGCAGACATCACCAAACTTGTTTGACTACAGCACTACATCATCATATAGAGATATTAAAATGAAGATTAAACTTCACCCCCTTCCTTGTATCGAACACACCCAAGGTGTAAATACAATACAACTTCAGAATGGAGATACCTTTGAAGCAAAATGTGATGATCAATGGTTAGTTGTGGCTCATAGATTTGATGGAAGCGAGGATTTTTATCGTCCAATGGCGGATTATGAAGCTGGCTTCGGAAGTCCAAAAGGAGAGTATTTCATTGGGCTTGATAACCTAATATCATTACTGAAACACAATTGGTATGTGTTTAGGCTAGAGTTCACAACATGGGCAGGCGATACTGAATTTGCTGAATATTACGTTTTCTTTGTAGGCGAGTTTAAATTCCGACTTGAAGATTTTCGAGGCTCTAGCCTAGATCTTATATCAACGGAATATGAGTACGCATATGAGATGGAGTTGCCTGACTATGGTTTTTATGAGGAAGTCCTTAAAGGTTATCAGTTTGGTACACGGGACAATTCCAAATGCGGTAGCCTACGAAGAGGAGCATGGTGGTACGGTTTTGCTCATTATGGCTCAAATCATGAATGGCTATGTGGAAATGCTAACCCGTTTGGGGTGTATAGGAATGGACCAAAATGTGACATAAGACTTGGCTGCATGGGCTGGATGGGTTGGCCTGGAGAACTCTTCAATATATCCGAGCGACAAAAGAACAAGGAGCTTGATAATGGCTGGTATTCATTCAAAGAGATGAGGCTTCTAATACGCCTGCGAGAACCTCGCTGGTCATAATCTTCTTGCAAAGTATATGAATTGAAAAGAATAGCTTAGCTAATCTATATAATGTGCAAACTAAATTAGAATGTTGTGTTCACTAAATAATAGGTTTAACTGTACCTACCTTATCTGTAACTGCCCAATCCCCATGCGTTAAGGCCAGCTCTTGTTTTATACTTGGTTTACTAGAAATACCTAGAAAGAAATATTTCATTATTTATCAACTTTACAAACAATAATGATCATACAGAAGCAGAGTATTGTTGCAGGTATTTTTACAAGATATACATATTTTAAGAATTTTGAGAACCTTTCTTTTTTCATTATTTTGAGAAATCATGCTTGAAGGAAGATGCGAAATATACATTTTAAATAATTTGCAAAAAGAATCAAAGGTTGCAACTTACCAGAGAACATGAAATCTGCATCAAGGCTACTGACTGGATCCCTACCCTCTGCATTGTCATGTGTCTTGTCGTCAACACGATAACCAACCAGTTCAAGATTTGAGGTCACATGGTATAGATGACGGAAGCCAGATTTTTCACTTGACCAAATGAAACTGATTTCATTGGAACTTATTTGAGGGAAGAAGTGTAAAATATCAGATACCTAAAATAAAGAACTTTCAAAATTCTACATCCACATTCTTACTGAATCAACAAGCTGGTACGTTGTATGACATGTGTTTAAGCTATAACAAGTATCAAATAGAAAGATTATATTGGATTCCAAATGTACTTTTTAAGCAATCTATCAAAAACAGCCTATAAGCCACTGTTTCAACTTTAATATTGAACATGTATTAATTGCTTGGCAGTCAATATACAGTTTTTAGTAATAAAACCAAAATGATAATTTTGATTTACTCTAATGATTTCATAAAAGATATTCCCCTCTAAACACTGTATCCATTAGGTATCCCAGCAGGCTTTCTTACATTAATCCAGATGTCTGAGGTATCCTGGTATATCATATAGACCCCAGAGTTTGAGGATTGCTGGTCAAATTCCTGCATTTCAATATCATAAGCATCCATGGTGAAGTTGTCAGGGGAGATGAGCACTAAAGCCAACCTGTCTTGGTTTCTGGAGAGGATCTGGGCCCAAACACTACAAATAATTATACAAAGGGTAAGTATGGTATACACAAAGGGCAGTTAAGAAGACCATTATGAAGTCTAAAAAGATTCACATTTTAATCCACATATGTAACAATATTGAATAAAACTAGATGTGGAACTGCTAAAGACACTAAACTAATGCATGCAGACCCAAACAGTGTCTCCGTTTTATTTTTGTTTTATATTTATTTCAAATCTTACAATGTAGTTTGATTAGCTCATGCACGCACAAAAATGTTAATTAAGACATAGCATTAACATGAAAAAATGCGCCACTGGAAGTTATTACAATTGGTTAAAAAAAACTGACTGCTGAGCGCTGACTCTTGTCACAAGAACAATATATCACCACTTCTTGCATTTGACATAAAAATGGAACGTACTATTTTGAATCCGCAGTCCAGCCCGCTCTAACAATGTATTCCAACCATGGGAACATGTGACTAAGAGCTTCTTTCATGTGGAGTTCCTTTACATTGCACACCTATACAAAGAAATATATAATTATAAAAACACTATATCCAATGTTTTCCAACCATGGGAACATGTGACTAAGAGCTTCCTTCAAGTGGAGTTCCTTAACATTGCACACCTGTACAAAGAAATATACAATTATAAAAACACTATATGCAATGTATTCCAATCATGGGAACATGTGACTAAGAGCTTCTTTCATGTGGAATTCCTTAACATTGCACACCTGTACAAAGAAATATACAATTATAAAAACACTATATCCAATTCTAACCATGGGAACATGTGACTAAGAGCTTCTTTCATGTGGAGTTCCTTTACATTGCACACCTATACAAAGAAATATATAATTATAAAAACACTATATCCAATGTATTCCAACCATGGGAACATGTGACTAAGAGCTTCTTTCATGTGGAGTTCCTTAACATTGCACACCTATACAAAGAAATATATAATTATAAAAACACTATATCCAACGTATTCCAATCATGGGAACATGTGACTAAGAGCTTCTTTCATGTTGAGTTCCTTAACATTGCACACCTGTACAAAGAAATATACAATTATAAAAATACTATATCCAATGTATTCTAACCATGGGAACATGTGACTAAGAGCTTCTTTCATGTGGAGTTCCTTTACATTGAACACCTGTACAAAGAAATATACAATTATAAAAACACTATATCGTATGTATTCCAACCATGGGAACATGTGACTAAGAGCTTCTTTCAAGTGGAGTTCCTTAACATTGCACACCTGTACAAAGAAATATACAATTATAAAAACACCATATCCAATGTATTCCAACCGTGCGAACATGTGACTAAGAGCTTCTTTCATGTGGAGTTCCTTAACATTGCACACCTATACAAAGAAATATGTAATTATAAAAACACTATATCGTATGTATTCCAACCATGGGAACATGTGACTAAGAGCTTCTTTCATGTGGAGTTCCTTTACATTGCACACCTGTACAAAGAAATACACAATTATAAAAACACTATATCCAATTCATTCCAACCATGGGGACATGTGACTAAGAGCTTCTTTCATGTGGAGTTCCTTAACATTGCACACCTATACAAAGAAATATGTAATTATAAAAACACTATATCCAATGTATTTCATCCATGGGAACATGTGACTAAGAGCTTCTTTCATGTGGAGTTCCTTTACATTGCACACCTATACAAAGAAATATACAATTATAAAAACACTATATCGTATGTATTCCAACCATGGGAACATGTGACTAAGAGCTTCTTTCAAGTGGAGTTCCTTAACATTGCACACCTGTACAAAGAAATATACAATTATAAAAACACCATATCCAATGTATTCCAACCGTGCGAACATGTGACTAAGAGCTTCTTTCATGTGGAGTTCCTTAACATTGCACACCTATACAAAGAAATATGTAATTATAAAAACACTATATCGTATGTATTCCAACCATGGGAACATGTGACTAAGAGCTTCTTTCATGTGGAGTTCCTTTACATTGCACACCTGTACAAAGAAATACACAATTATAAAAACACTATATCCAATTCATTCCAACCATGGGGACATGTGACTAAGAGCTTCTTTCATGTGGAGTTCCTTAACATTGCACACCTATACAAAGAAATATGTAATTATAAAAACACTATATCCAATGTATTTCATCCATGGGAACATGTGACTAAGAGCTTCTTTCATGTGGAGTTCCTTTACATTGCACACCTATACAAAGAAATTGTCACATGTTATAGTTGATTTATGTTATATTGTTTCAAATAAGTGCAGTTTACCTTTTCCTTTGAGTAAATCTAAATTGTCCATAGTCCTTTATGTAGAAATTTACAGTTGATTAGTTTTATTGTACTTTAATCCTTTGACATAAACTCATGTTGTTACACTGAGTAGAGTATAGAGTAATATAGTGACCTAGCTGAGTTATGAAACCAAGAGAACGGACGGAGTGAGATGTGAAAGTGAAGGAAGAAACTTTTCAACAAGTTTAGGAGAACTGTGGATTTTGCAAATATGAAAGACTTATATACATCTTCATGTGTAGAATGGAACACTATGAACATATCAGTTATCTGGAATAACCTTTTGATGTCGTGCCACGTATATATTTATGTCGTATGCTGAGACTGTCTTCTGTGTATTAGTGCATATGGAGAGTGATTCGAACATCCTGCATTTGTGTTGTACTTAGCTATGGGATACACGCACCCTTAGTTTTCCACTGACGGAATAGTGGACTACTGTGTTTGTGTTAGGTATTGCGCAGGATGAGGATTCCTGCCATACTTGTGAAGTCGTGTAGCTCCATGGGAGTACTTTAAAGCTTGTGACGTAATACAAGTTTTGTGTTATGGATAACCGAAGAAATCTATGTGTAACATTTACTTCGTTTGTGACTGGATTTGTGTACAAGGCATTTATTTCCTTTTATGGATTAAACTATATGTGTCTGACTTAATGGATATAATACCGTCTTCAGGTTCCAGGACTGTAGTTGTGGTGTTATATATAATCACTTTTGTGATTTAATCAAGATATTCACCTTTTATTCCTTCACCTTGTGATTTTAAAGATATTTTAGATTCTCAATAGAATATAAAATTAATTATCTTACATTAAATGTGATATCTGTTATCTTTTTATTGAAAAGAACCTTTACTCCGTGACAATGGGGGCTCGTCCGTGCCAAAAAGATAGTAGATGTGTTTAATTATGTCATAGATATTATGCATTTAGTTTTAGTGTTGTTTTATTTTGTAAGATAGCAAGTCATTTATATGTACTATCAGTTTGTAATATCTTACATTCATTTTAAACATAACTCAATAATGTAATTCTTAATTTGGTCAGAATTAATTCATGTTTTCAACATTACTTAATTCTCAAACATGGGGGTAATGTCACATGTTATAGTTGATTTATGTTATATTGTTTCAAATAAGTGCAGTTTACCTTTTCCTTTGAGTAAATCTAAATTGTCCATAGTCCTTTATGTAGAAATTTACAGTTGATTAGTTTTATTGTACTTTAATCCTTTGACATAAACTCATGTTGTTACACTGAGTAGAGTATAGAGTAATATAGTGACCTAGCTGAGTTATGAAACCAAGAGAACGGACGGAGTGAGATGTGAAAGTGAAGGAAGAAACTTTTCAACAAGTTTAGGAGAACTGTGGATTTTGCAAATATGAAAGACTTATATACATCTTCATGTGTAGAATGGAACACTATGAACATATCAGTTATCTGGAATAACCTTTTGATGTCGTGCCACGTATATATTTATGTCGTATGCTGAGACTGTCTTCTGTGTATTAGTGCATATGGAGAGTGATTCGAACATCCTGCATTTGTGTTGTACTTAGCTATGGGATACACGCACCCTTAGTTTTCCACTGACGGAATAGTGGACTACTGTGTTTGTGTTAGGTATTGCGCAGGATGAGGATTCCTGCCATACTTGTGAAGTCGTGTAGCTCCATGGGAGTACTTTAAAGCTTGTGACGTAATACAAGTTTTGTGTTATGGATAACCGAAGAAATCTATGTGTAACATTTACTTCGTTTGTGACTGGATTTGTGTACAAGGCATTTATTTCCTTTTATGGATTAAACTATATGTGTCTGACTTAATGGATATAATACCGTCTTCAGGTTCCAGGACTGTAGTTGTGGTGTTATATATAATCACTTTTGTGATTTAATCAAGATATTCACCTTTTATTCCTTCACCTTGTGATTTTAAAGATATTTTAGATTCTCAATAGAATATAAAATTAATTATCTTACATTAAATGTGATATCTGTTATCTTTTTATTGAAAAGAACCTTTACTCCGTGACAGAAATATATAATTATACAAACACTATATCCAATGTATTCCAACCATGGGAACATGTGACTAGGAGCTTCTTTCATGTGGAGTTCCTTTACATTGCACACCTATACAAAGAAATATATAATTATACAAACACTATATCCAATGTATTCCAACCATGGGAACATGTGACTAAGAGCTTCTTTCATGTGGAGTTCCTTTACATTGCACACCTATACAAAGAAATATATAATTATACAAACACTATATCCAATGTATTTCATCCATGGGAACATGTGACTGAGAGCTTCTTTCATGTGGAGTTCCTTAACATTGCACACCTGTACAAAGAAATATACAATTATAAAAACACTATATCCAATTCTAACCATGGGAACATGTGACTAAGAGCTTCTTTTATGTGGAGTTCCTTTACATTGCACACCTATACAAAGAAATATATAATTATACAAACACTATATCCAATGTATTCCAACCATGGGAACATGTGACTGAGAGCTTCTTTCATGTGGAGTTCCTTAACATTGCACACCTATACAAAGAAATATACAATTATAAAAACACTATATCCAATGTATTTCATCCATGGGAACATGTGACTAAGAGCTTCTTTCATGTGGAGTTCCTTAACATTGCACACCTATACAAAGAAATATATAACTAGATTTGTGAAATTGAACAAGTTCAATTTAAGACTCCAGATTTATTTGACCTAGATAGATCAGTAAAGAGCTGAGTAAGTAACTGAGTAATTAGCTGAGTAAGTACCTTAGTAGTAGTTGAGTAAGTAGCTGAGTAAGTAACTGAGTAAAAAGCTGAGTAGGTAGCTGAGTAGGTACCTGAGTTAGTAGCTGAGTAAGTTGCTAAGTAAGTAATAACTAATTAAGTAATTGAGTAAGTAGTCAAATAAGTAGCTGAGTAGGTAGAGAGGTAAAGTAGGGTATGCAGTATGCAGTATATTTGATCAATCTGCATCGTGAATACTGGCAAGTGCGAATTTCAAACTTCAAAATGGCGTAGAATCTAAACCGGGGGTCGGATTGCAATTTTAATTTCAGATCCGGATTCCTGAGGAAATTCTACCCCTAATTCATAACTCATACTTTAAAATTGGAGAACTTTTTATTTTGACCTACATTTCGGACACCATATCTCAAAAGTGGGTCAAAAAACTTATTGACGGCAAAATGTTAACATTATTAGCACACTCTTTACAACAAGTATACAAAATTTCGGAGAATATCATTGAAGTGTACT